AACATTAGTCATCATCAAGAAGGGGTACATCTTGACAGGAAAGACAGAGCAAGAATAGTCATCAACCCCCCCCAAATCTGCTGACTCCTCCCTGCTCTCCTGTTTCATTCCTCAGATTGCCTCTCCAGACCAAAAGACATAAGTCTCCTATATTTATCTGGTCTGTTTTAGTGCAAGAGAAGGATGCAAGTCAGATATACAGTGGAGATAAGATAAAAGTGGTACCTTCACACATATATCACTCTCCCTAATCCCCTCACTCTGCACACAACACCAATATTTACTGTCAGTACCTGCATTCACTAGTTTTCCCAACCGCCCCAGCACTCATTGATCTCTGGTCAATGCACACACACATACTTTGATTAACACAGCCCTGTCCCCAATTCTTGGTCCCCATCTCGTATGTACAGATTCTGTAAGTAGTTTAAAAACGTACACAATTGTAAGGGCATTAAATGTTTATCAGTATGGGGTGGATTTATTGAGTGCATAAGCTATTTAGTCTGTACAGTGGAAGATCTACGTTCAGAATCCGCTACTCTAGCGATCAAGAATGGTAGAACTAAGTGAGATCACACAGCCGATATGGATTTCTCTACAGCAGTGACTACTTTACAGACACATTCTAGGTACTTCGTAAACTATAATTAACTTACCCAAGCATATGTAAACTGAGACCTTTCCAGATTGCCTTGAAATTTAAAGTATACAGGCACAGATTAACACATCGGGAGGCTTGAGAAGCTGGCAAGGAGAATGGCGTCATTAGACATTTGTCAGGCGTTGGTACAAAGAAGTTCCTTGTATACTGGGGCAAGAGTAATCGGTTTCCCAAGAAACCTCAATTAACTCCGTCTAAATGGGCCTAATTACCCGCAAAAGATATACATTTAAAAGTGGATTTTAGTTAAAGTACCAGAAAAAGGCAGACTAATAATGTTGTCCAATACAGGCCTATAGAGATATAGATAGGGGTATAGTGACTATATATTTCTGGGCGAGTCCAAGTTTGAATTTTGTGCAGATTACAGGTAAGACAGGTTATCAGCCTTATAAACCGATGTGTAATGACTATCATTTCACGACAGTTGGTCACCCCACATTATTGTGTCATGGTGTAGTTAGTGTACTTGCATGCTTCACATTTCAGGACTTGACTGAAGCATCTGCCAAGACTACTAACTACCTTTAACCCAGAGAATATCAACTGGTGGGCCACATCTGGCCCGCAGAACATAGCTCTGGCCCGCGGATCATAGCTATTTTACTGTTTCGGGGCCCCATTGTGGGGAAAAACAAGAATCCACCCACTGCCTCGCCAACAGGTTTGACGTAAGAGTCGACGAAATCGGGGCATTCTTGGAAGTCGGGAGTTCGTCTGCCTGATGCACAAGGAGCCAACAGTCTGCATACAGAAAAGCTAGATCTGTAAAATGGCTGTGCTCACAAAATTCCGATTCTGCAACAAGACTCACGTCCAGAGGCTGACGATTAACCAGAAATTTCCGCTGGAGGAAGATTATTAACAGATACAAGACAGAAGATTACGATATGTTTGGCACATCATTAGGAGAGGCGGACAGAGACTAAACAGGCACGTAATTGAAAAAGAAATGGATTGAGGAAGGGAAGCCGTGCAAAACAGACCTTAAGACGAATGTTTTTGAGATATCTTATGTTTCGCTGCCTGAGCTACTGAGTTCAGTGCTTAATTCAACACGTTTTTTTTTTTTTAATATGCAGTGTCTTTCATTTGTACAGTACTTGAGTCCTGGCATTCAATATGGCCGGTGACCGGTTTACGTGTGTGCTGGTGAACTACCTTATGTAATAATTTTACTTGTGTGTAGCCAACTTATCGTGTCCAACTACTTCCAACAACGGCAGACTGGATTTCTGGTGGCGCCTCTTAGCAACTGCTATATATATGCCAGTACTGCGTGTGCATATTTCTGGTTTGTTTCGGGACTAATTTGTTTGTTCGTCAATTTTTCAAATGGGACAGTCAGGGACATTTTATTTGATTTTAACAGGTACAGTAGCGGAGCAAGTATGGGGTGACCCGATTGCAGCGAAGTAGATACCTCGCCAAAGACTAAAATGAAGATACCTCTTTCTAAATCCCCTTCATTCCGGTGGTTGTCTTTTACCTAATCATACGCCGGCACTTTAAACGCTCTTGTCTACACTTCCTCGTAATTTTGGTCCTGTAGCCGACATTACCGTGTTGGCACTGCATGCTGTTATCGTGTACAGCGAGATACCAGCCACCAGAACTGGGCTGGGGGTGGGAGGGATGATCGGTAATAATTCTTTACAGCAGGGGGTAGAAGCCGAAATCCAGAACACCTAAGATAACACCAGCGGCAAGGTCACATTATAAGTGATGCGAAGACATAGAAACAGGCACGCATTCCTGAAACCTAACATTGGAGAAGGCAACACGAGGGGAAGGTGAGGCCTCAGCAGGTATCATCTCCCCAGTCCTCATTGCTTAGTGTATGAGTTCCGTCCCCTGCCACAGGTATCATCTCCCCAGTCCTCATTGCTTAGTGTATGAATTCCGTCCCCTGCCACAGGGTTACCTTTCGTTGTTTCTGTACGCCACCGATATGTGCATTATCGTCGCCGTGATCTGTCAGGCGTCCAAAATACAACGTTATTTTGGCAGATTTCCACGCCAGGATGCCTGTTTTGTTAATGATGTGTTCCCTGTGCCCCTGTTGGGCAAGTTCGTGTAGGAAAACACTGCGGCGTTTTACATCAGGTAGGCCATTAAGCAGCTGCTGAATTCGGCCAGCGTCCGTTTTCTGTTTACTTTGGCTTGACTAATGCGCTATTTCAGTGAGCTGTCTTTCTTCTTTGCGTTCACCGGCGGAAAGTCTTGATTGTTCGTCCATGCCTGGACTTTTACCAGAACATGGGTTTTGCGTGCGTATCTGTTTTACATATCTGGCTGTTTTAAATGCAGACGGTTGATTCGTCGCCTCAGGCAGATGCACGGCTACTTTAAAGGACATGCTTGTTAGGGGTCAGTGGGTCTATTCTTCTTTTGTGTGTGTATGTGTGTGCGCGCGCCACCTAAAGTGGGACACCGTAACCCACATGTGGAGTTATGTTCATTGCAAGGGCGGGTACATGTTTTTCTCCCCATGTAGTTATGAACTGTGTGGCATGAGAGACAGATCCGATTTACCTGCAAACGTTGGGGATTCACTCCCCAGTTGTGAAGGATTTAGTCTCAGGACTGTTGGAAGCTGGGGCCATTCTGCTCACTGTGAGAAGTTTCTTATACTGAAAAACGGCCAAAAAGATCACCCAACATAATTCTTTGTGATTTTGCCATATCTCTGTGTACAATATACGTATGTGATATCTGGGACCTCACTGAGAGTGAATTCGTGCAGTTCTACACAGAGCAGACTGATTTTTGGTGAAGAATCTGTCATAGATACACATGTTGATGAATCGGCACAAACAGACCTGATGTCTGCAGAAACTGTCAGTAGACTTCGAAGTGATCCCCTGTCCACACTGTTGGATATAGGTGAACAGGGAAAAGAGAGCAAGGTCGACACATTCCCCACCACTTAATCCTACCATTTGACAAGTCACTATCACCCTACTTCAGTCAGCAGCATCATCATTGTTGTAGAGCGAAGATTACCTAAACTGTGCACCACGGCTCTCCGGGGAGCCGCGATCTTTTCATAGGGGTGCCATGAAATATTTAAAGATACACCAGTTTTAATTGTTTTGCTATCTTAATTACGAATAGTCATACTTTTACTTAGGTTAAGGCGCCGTGGATATTTTTCTTTTATTGAAAAAAGGCGCCGTGACTAAGAAAAGTTTAGGAAACACTGTTGTAGAGATGTGTGTATGTTTTGTTATTGTATATGTATGTAAACATTGAATGTATTTGTTGTGTAAAATGTTTTAACACCGCTTAGCTTTTTACCAGGATTTTAGCTGCCAGTTCTGAATATTTGTATCCAGATTTTGATTTATTTCATCTTTTGCGGAATATTTTACTTCTGTTTTTAAAAAGCGCAACAACAAAAAAGAAAAGAAAACTAAGAGTTTAAAATATATGCAAATAGCTTTTCATTCGGGTTGTATTAACTTCTGTATAATGACATTCCACAGATCAGAGTCAACAAAAGAATCAGAAACAGACTACCAAAAGAAAATTGGATCCACCAACAAAGGCAGCAAAGAAATCTGTAGGTAAAAAGAAAAAAGAAACAGGAAGTGAGGAAAACCTTGAAACTAGTTCATCAGTATGTAAGCAGACATGCAATGTAGTTGTAAAAAGAATTGAAGAAGAATCTAAAAACCCTCAAAGCAAAGAGGAGTGTACTCAGAAGCAACAGCAAAAGCTCAAAGAGAAACCAACACCAAACAAAAGTCCTGCTGACCTTGAGGGCGTGAAGGCCACTGAACTTTCAGAGAATACCCCTAGTCCATTAGACAGTTCAAAAGATCATGGGGATTCCTTGCTTGATGTGAGCATTTGTGATAACAATGACAAGCAGTGCAGTGATGTGCCAGAGGCAAGGAAGGTTAAAGGTAAAGTGAAAGAAACAGAAGACAGAGAAACTTCAAATGTTTTCCCAAAGGGGGGTGACAGAAAGCAGATTCAGAGTCCATCAAGGACTGTAGATTTAGAAAATGCAGAAAACCTTGGCAGAAAATCTATCTGTGATGATCATTTGAAACCTGATGCAAGCACTTCTGATCCAGCCAACTCTCTTAGTAATGGCACTGTAAATTGCATATCACCATCACATTGCAAAAGGCCACCAGACAGATGCAGCAAACAGAAAGACACTGTAAAACAAGCTACAGTAAAACCTAAAGAGTTGAGCACTCATTTTGTAAATGAAAAATCTCAAATCCCTCAGACTTTTAGAGAAACGTTGCAGGAGAAAGAGAGCATCGCAAAAAATCCTGTTATTGGGGTTGAAATTTCCGACTCAGAGGCTGAAGAGGACATGCATTATAAGAAACAGATTATCAGGGCTGGAGGCAATATCAGTCCATCACATAATGCTCAGACTCCAGCAGTTGCTGAATGTGTTGATATCAGTCGATCACTGACTGACCAGTTATCCAAAGCCAAAAGCAGTGATAAATATTCCCTAAATGGAGATGGGAAATTCAAACCTGAAGCCGGGGAAATTATGGAGAAAACATCATCCCCATCATCGTCCAGCAAGCTGTCTTCGTATAACCCTGCGGAAATTGAACGATCAGAAGGTAACTCCTTCAGTAAAATCCGTGAGGTGAAAGAGGATAGGCAGAGTGCATTTACCTGTGTTCAGCCGAGTGTAGCCAGAAGCAACCCAGCAACACCTGCAGCATTAGATCGCACAGACTCCAGAGCTAGTGATGGCCAGTTGTCTGTGCATATATCTGACGAGAAGTTCGCTGGGTCACGCTGTGATGAAGTACGCTCTATCAGAAGCAGCCCTAGGACAAGCCCTTTGGTTAGTGACCGACATGAAGCAGTCAATCCGTATAGGGATCCGGAGCTGATGCGCAAAAATCCGGTGCAAAGTAGTGTTCAAAACATGCTTGCTGTCCAGCATAAGATTAACCAGTCTGCTTTTCCTTCAGTGCATGCCCCTATTCCAGGAGCAACAGCATCCTCATCTCAAGCCCCAGTGACATTTGCAGGTGTCCAGACTCTTCCTGCAGGCAGTCTGCTCAGCACATTGCCATATACAACTGCCCATCAACTTCCGCCATCGCTGTCTCACCATCTTACTCTCCCGCATGGATATTCTATGGATGCAGTTGTCAGGGCACAACATATGGCAGCCATGCAGCAGCAACATTTGATGGGATTAGCAATGGGGCCTGCAAACACAGTGGCCTCACTGGAAGCATTGTGGCATCACAAATTCCCGACCACTCCGTTCCCAACGCCATACATGCTGCAGAAGAACCAAGACCTCATCTTGACTCCAGAGTTAGCAGCAGCACTACACAGAGAACATTTTCATCTTCAGCTGGATCATGAAAGAAGAGAGCTGGAAAGAATCGAAATTGAGCGCAGAGAAAGATTAGAGCAAGAGCTGAGAGAAAAAGAAAGGAAAGAAATTCTGGAAAGGTAAATATATATGTTGTCACTTTGCACTCTGCTGATCGTCTTTCTTCTTCTTCGCGTTCACTAGCTGTAAACTTTGGCGGAAAGTTACACTTATTCGTCCACTTCTAGACTGCAGTCCTGTTCCATAACCCAAGTGTTGTGTGCGCAGCCGTTTTTTTTAATAGATCAGACTCATTTTATGCAGACTGTTGGTTTCTTGCCTCTCAGGCAGATGCACTCCGACTTTAAAGAAAGTTCCCATTTAGTTGACTCTTAAAACATGCTGTTAAGTAGGCAGTGGGTCTAATCACTTCTCTCCCCCCCCCCCCAAAAAAAAATAGGGCCCAGGGACCCACACGGGGAATATACTGATGTTCTGGTACAAAGGTCAAGTTCAGATCCGCATATAGACATACTTTTTTTTTTAATATCTCTCTTGCTATTTTTCTTGCTCGAACTTCTATCTGGATAAGAGGAATTTCTGATATGAAGAACCATTTTTTGGTCCACGGTGAATTCTCTTATCAGGTCTTAACTGTATAGGTCTAGTGCTCTATGCCTGATGTGCCTAAGGTGTGAAAATTGTATTTTCAAAGATAGCATAGTTGACAATCTCCTTGTAACTTCTAACTCTGAGTATGTTGTTGATGTACAAAAAGAAATTATTGTAATGGATCAGTTTATAGTGATTATATAAGTATTGTGCTGCTGGAAGTGTTTTCTGAGGTAAGGGTAGTCCCATGGTAGATTCTGATGTTGAGGTTTGAGGTGGTAGGCTTTCACTGGTTGTAGGCCGTCACATTTGAAGTGGAGAAGGGAGGGCATTTACCTTCCTTGTTGTTAGCCTTTTCCTCCCTGACAACTCATAGGATACTGATTTTTGTGAGGCGGGGCCTAGAGTCCTACTTTGGGTCGGGTTCTACTACTTCTGTAAACTGAACCTTGACCTACCCGTTTAGGTTCCATGGCCCCTCGTTGGGAGGAAAAAGAAGAGAGAAACTACCCCCCCCCCCCCCCCGCAAACATGTAATAATGAGATGAGAAACCAGCAGTCTGTTTTAAAAAAAGTTAGATCTGTAAAATGGATGTGCACGCAACTCAAGTTATGGAACATGACCAAAGTCTAGAAGTAGATGAACAAACCAGAACCTTCCAGCGGAGTTTACAGTCGATGAACATGGAGTAGCCTAGACTATTGTCTCAGCAAGCATGCGGACTAAGCTACAACGTTTTTCTATGGATATAACAGCGCTGACAATTTTGTTGTTGGGTAATGCCAGCATCTGTGGCATAGGGAACACACTTGGTAATTCTGAGATACAAGGTTCGATTCCAGCTGCAGTCGAGTTGACATCAGACCGCTTTGCATTGATTTCGACGGTGATATGGAGAGCCGACATACCCAATTAAATTAAAAAAAATATTAGCTTACGTTATCCTTTCTTAGATAGTCGTTACGGTTCCGGCATCACAGTAGGCGAGCTTGGCCCGCTCAACCGCCTTTGCCAGTGATTCCAGTCACAACTGAGTCAGATACGCTGGATACTTCAAGTGAATGTCGTAGCCATACAAAGTGTCCGCAGTCAGCAAAACACACCCGATTTGACCTGGCAAACCATAAGGTGCATGCCTCTTTAAACACACTGCGAGACCAGGAATCATCCTCTGTGCTGACAAAGGGTTTCGGGCACGCATGCAGTAGAGGACACACATACTGTGTCCTGTGATTTGTTCTACCCTTGTCTTCTACGAGTCGGTGACTTGTCTATGATTTGGGTTTTGTTGTTGTTGTTGTTTGTGATGTTATTTATAGTCATATGGCGTCATATTTTTATTACAATGTAACCTGTCTCGTGTGGTAGATATTCTCAGTATGAATCAAGTCATCGAAATGCCGCCCCTATAGGCTCGCACTGTCAGATCAAAAGTTCAAGTTGTATTTTTGTGTGTGCTGCTTTTGCCCCTCCCCCATACGGTGCCGCTTGATGCGAGCGAATCTGCATAATAACACGACCCTGAAAGTATCGTACTAATGTACGGATCCTTCTCATGCCATCGGCGCATGTTTCTAGAACCTTAGTTTTAGAGCCAGCTGGTACTCGATGGGTGATGTGATCATCACCACTTCGGCCGCCTTTACTTTACCGGTGTAATTATATTTTTTAAAATCTGCTGAGGTGCGGTTCGAAACTAGTATACAAAGCTACGAATGTGTTGATAGCAAGTGTGTACTTGTTTGTTTCAAGCGTATTTTTAGTCTGCGTCTGGGATCTTAGTTGTAAACGTGATATGATATCGGTGTCAAGTGTTCATTGTCCTTTACGCATGTTGACTCAGATTGGAAACCGTCGGAACACTTGATCAAAGTTGAATATTGCCTCAGGCAACTTCCCTTTGAGGTTATCTAGTTAATTCTTTTCTTACATGATAGCACAGTTTTTGTTTACCAGGGCATTGGTCCGGGTTCACTAACCAGTTGTAGATAGTTATATTATTTTTCTCTCCCAACCAGTCACGCTGCTTGGTTGTTCTAGTCTGGTAACATAATTTAGTTTTCAGTTGCCTTGAAAAACTATGCTGAGAACTTGCCACCCCGCCTGACTTGTTTCGTGGCCAACAGTATGCGAATGTCTGGCTTCACACATCGGCTGTAACCCGAAGGCGCTACTTTCACCTTTAACTGCACGTTTTGGCTTGTAAATTCACAAAACCCAGCTGACGTATTTTTACATGGCAAGGGCAGGGAGTTGAGTCAATAGGTAGTATTACACTGTAAGAAAGAGAAGAAGGGGCGAAAAGGCATATTGCTTAAACCTTTCACGGGAGCCACTACTGCAGAACTGTGCGAAATATGTCAAATATGAACACACGTGTTTGAATTCAAAGCCTTCTATGCAGTTCTCCTTGCCAAGATTACACCAGGTAACAGGACAAAGGAACTTTACACAGGGAATCACGATATATCAGTTAGCCTGCAGTTTTCCTGATTTAATTTCCCCGCTATCGATTTATCCTTATCGATTTCTGTTTCCTTATACCGCGAAACTGCACACACGCACGTACATACCCACCCCCTGGCCTACCCTACCCACTCAGCCCGCCTGTGTTCTCATTCTATTGATTGAGGAGATACCCTCCGTGTTTCTTTTGCACCGCCGGTGCACAAGCAGTGTTGGGAAGGGGGAAACGGGTATGTTGCCAGCCTGAAAGGAAAGCACGCTGCCCCGAGGAAACTGATAAAGAGCTTATTCACAAAGACGTGTGTTGGCGAGAAGTGTGTAGACGGATAACGCTTGCCTGTAGCCCAGTGCACTGACTGGAAGTGGGTCAGCAGCCATGTTGAATTTTATAAGTTGAAGGAAGGAAAGATAGTAATCAACACAGCTTCGACCAGGGACAGTCGACGTGTTTATACGCTAGCGTTTGTGTTGAATAGAAGGTAAGAACATCGCCACACTAGCTATTTTTCTTCCTCCGTGGCTGTGGTACTAGACTTTAATGTGCCTGGTAATGTCGAAAGCTTATCTTATTTTTTGAAAGTGTGAATTCAGTCTTCAGTAATTTCTAGATTTCCGCTAACACACCGCTATCATTGTTTTTAAATATAGCTTATTTAATCAGTCGTTTCATTAGTTTCAGCGCTGTGCTAGGTATTCTGAGGATATATACTGGTTTATTATTTCATCATTCTAAGTTTGTTACTGTATACTATATTAGCTTGTGTTAACAGATGTTGTACGAAAATCAAAGGGTTGTTAAGGTCTATTTTGGAGACTAAAATGTTAGTTGCCTATCATTTACATACAGTAGGACGTTGCAGAACCACCCTAATACATTTTTGGCTGTTGTGGTTTTTCTAGGCAAAACTTATGTTGAGTAGTTTGCCATTGCATTTAAACGGTCGGCTGTCGAAACCAACACAAGACTGTCTGCTATCTAATCGCTCGCAGCTAGGATCGAACCCGCGTTATGAAGCGCGTGTGCAACGTCTAAGCCACATCACTTTTGATGTTAACAGTTAATATATCGGCGAGAAATTACTTAGTTCAGATGGTGATGTTTAGAAGAATGTGAGGATATTTTGATATAGAGAACTGTTTATTTATCCCAGAAACTAGTCTTCGGACACGTCAGTAGATACCAAGGAACGAAAGAAATATGGTAAATTTGATATACTCCTTAGCGTGGGCTGTCAGTCCCTTCCATTTGATTCTCAGAAAGTTGTCTAATGATACATGTTTTCAAGTTGTAAAAGACTTACTGGGAGTCGCCGTGGCGTAGCGACTAGACTCTCACGTGCGTAACGGAAGGTTGTGAGTTCGTTACCTGACGGAGCAGGACTTTTGTCAAAAACGACCGTGACTCCCAGACTTGAGTGGGTACTGGGTGCAGTTTCGAAAAGTAAAGGCGGCCGGCGAGATGCTGGCCACGTCACACATCTTGTGTCGATTGCTCAAAAAATAATATAGGTCTAGCGGGGAAAAGGGACCTTTACTTTTTTTTTTAAACTATAAGACTGACTCGATTCTAGAGCTGTGCTTATCACCAGAGCTGTACCAGTGGGTGGGTAACGCTTCCTAGACTAGCGGGAAAGACCCATAGCTTACTATCACAGCAGTGACTGATTAGGGGTTTCCCTCTAAAGTCGGAGTTAAGGCGCCAATGTGAGTGAGTGCTAGTTCTACCTCTGAATCGTTCTTGTAAGTCTAATGGCTTAAAGGAGGTTTTAACGGTTACACGAGAATATCCCTCTGCTGTTAGTTTTCTTGCGTTATAGGACTTCATCCCGCACACCAACTGGTATGCTGCAATTTTGAAACTGCGTTCACGGTAACAATTGCATAGACTCACTCACACAGTACCGGTTTTTGAGAAAATGGACCAAGACATCATCAGTCACAGGACCGATTCATTTTTAAAAAATGAGTCTAGCCAGCTAGTTTGTCCCTAGGTGGTATACAATTTTTCCCTATTTGAAGCCCCGCCCTGGCCTTTTCCGGGGGCCCTGAATATAGCCATATAAATATGGCCAAACGACTTAAATGGGTTTCTGTGACCTTTCCACAGGTTCTCATCCGCGTGGTGACACTTTGTGACGCCGGGTGTTTATCGCTTGTGTGATGTACTGGTGGGGTACACAATGAGAGAGAAGCCAGCTGGCGGTAAAAAGGCTCTTCACGTCCCACGGTTTATTTTGGCTTCTTTGATGCGTCCTATTACTGGCTCAAGTGAACGAGCTACAGTAAAACGTGAACTAGCTTGACATGAAGACAATTAGTGACCCGGACATGACACCGAGGCTTCGTAATTCCGTAACACTTTGGCCGATTGCAGGTGCAGGCGATTTAGCGGCAGCCCGCTTTATGTTGATTTTGACAAAAGTATCGGCAGCCGAACGTTTGATGGCAGCGGCAGACTACTTGAGCATACAGTTGCCTAGTAACAAACATTGTGTGGTTGTCTTTACAACATCCTTTGTAAGTTAGGGATACACAGCCACATTCTTTTGTGTATTTGAATATTTGACACGAACTATTGATTGGATTTCTCATTCCTTGTAATTCGTGTTAATAAATTAGGTTTGCCTCTTTCCTAAGTACTGTATGATTGCTTCATACACAAGGGTTTCAATTCACCTTACAAAAACCTAGTTTAGACCCTACACCTAAAAATTTTTGTAAACACTTTTCTCTAAGTGTAGTTTTTTGTGGATGTGGCATATCTACATATACATGTACATTCGTTTGGAGAATGCAAAATGTGGTGAAGCATCATCGCCCACGCCAGGCGGCAACGCCTCGGAATGACACAAACTATTTACTGCAGTTTGATAAAGCATTTTTGTCCCTTGCTTTTTTTTTAATTTACAAAATATGCTGTAGTTTTTTCAGCTGTCTTTGTGACGTCCTTGTTTTTGTCTGGGAGAAAAATGTGTCCTTGGAGAACCAGCAATGTACAGGCCTGCGTCGGTGTGGTTCTGTTACAACAATACAAATAGCAGTGTCGATGAGTCAGACAGTAGCCCGAGTTGGCGGGGACGTAGTGCTTTATGAGGAAAGCCGCATACATCGGTTACAGTATGCCGAAGGACGTGTACAAACACTTGTGTAACCCCCACTGGAAACGTCAACCCATAACCTGTGGCTTATCAAACTGGCTCTGGTGTGCAGAGGTCACATCTGAGTGTAGCACGAGCAGGCGCCGAGCACAATCTGGACTTTGTTGTTCGTGTTCAGCACCGGATGTTTCCATGGCGAGCGCCGGATGGTGCGGGGTGATTCAGGCAGCCAAAGTGGATGTGTAGTGGGGAGTATTCCCCCCCCCCCCCCCAGACAAATGTGTTGTCTGTTATTCTGCGTAGCACATGGCCGGGAAACCGTTTTTTCTCCCTTATCTCTGGCGTGCCAACGCATGGCCTAGATTGTGGTATTCGTGAACAAAGAGAGGCCAGCAGGAAAGGTAAGGAACGTGATAAACCTCCATTACCATTGACGGCATATGTCGCGGTTTATGGCGTGGGACGTCAAGGTTGTAGCACAGGTTTATAGCAGGGCCGTTGTCAGCCAGTTGAATTTGAATATTTATGTGTACGCTAAGTTGTTTTTCTTCGAGGTTTTCTTTCAAATAGTTGTTGGGTCGGTTATTCATAGCAAAACACGAATGAAAATGAACAGTTCAAAAATGCTTGTAGAATATTATCTTTAAAATGATCGAGCTTGTATCATATTACGCACCTTTACTAGTATAACATTGATTTGTCTGTGGCTTAGGCGTTGCGAGCGCGGTTCGTAATGCGGGGGTGCCGGGTTCGATCTCAGCTGCAGACGGTTTGTCTTGCATTGGTTTCCACAGTGGTACCGAGAGTTGACTTTAAGTAGCAGTAACAAACTACTACACGTAACAGTTGCCTAAAAAAACCACAACAGCTAAAAAAAAAAAAAAAAAAAATACCGGGGTTCTGCAACGTCCTGTAAATGTAAAGTATAATCAACTAACACGTTTAACTAGAAATTTTTTTTTACCGTGCCGTAGTAAAGTGTTTTTCCCAGGACTTTTTTGTTATTGTGTCTTACAACTGTTGTTCTGTTTGCAGAGAACGGCAAGAGAAAGAGAAGGCCGAACGAGATAAGATAGAGAGAGAAAGGTTAGAGCGAGAACTGCTGGAAAAAGAACGGGAGCGGCAGAAGTGGGAGCTTCAGCAGAATCAAGAGCGTGTTCTGGATACGGAAGCTGCTGTTGACCAGCACTTTGCTGAGTCATTGACCAGACTTGCTAGTCAACAGGTCAGTTTTAACAGTAGGCTCCTGTATTGTTTGTTTTCTTTATGACAATAGGCTGCTGTATGCTGTTTGTAACAGCAGGCTGTTTTATTTTTAACAGTAGGTAAGTAGGCAGTGTTTTTCTCTTTGACAGTAGGCAGTGTTTTCCTTGTGACAGTAGACTGTTTTTCTTTGTCACAGTAATGTTTTCGTTGTATTAGTACTAGTACTGTGTTTTTTCCCCCACTGTAGGCTGTGTTTTCCTTGTAAACGTAGGCTGTTATCTTTATCAGTAGGTCATGTTTTCTTTGTAACATGACAGTAGTCTTGTTTTTTTCTTTGTAACAATAGGCTGTGCTTTTTGTGTAATGGTAGGCTGTGTTTTCTATGTAATAGTAGGCTGTGTTTTATATTTAACAGTAGGCTGTGTTTTGTTTGTAACATTAGAATTGGTTTCTGACAATAGAGGTTATATGTTTTGTCTGTAACTGCCGGATGTGTTATTTTCTTTGTAACAGTAGTTTTTTTTTTTTTGGTTACAGGCTTTATTTCTAACACAGCACAATAGGCTGCTATGTGTTTTGTTTGTAACAGTAGGCTGTGTTTTGTTTTTAATAGCAGGTCAGTGTTTTGTTTGTAACAGTAGGTCAATATTTTGTTTTGTTTGTAGCAGTAAGTCATTATTTTGTTTTGTTTGTAGCAGTAGGTTGGTATTAGTTTGTTTTGTCTGTAACAGTAGACTGTGTTTTGTTTTTAATAGTAGGTCAGTGGGCACTCTTCCGAATACCGGTCCCAAATTATTCTCAGCAAAAAACATCCAATGGAGAGCCTCAAGAGGTTATGTAGTAAAACATTTAGGCCATCATCATCAGCTATCACTTCTGCTGGTTTTGCTCGATGAATAGCAATTTTTAGACGTTGAGCTAAGCGCCGTGGGGAGGAGCAGTTTTTGATCCAGTGTTTCAGAGCCGTGAGGAGAAGCAGTTTTTGATCCAGTGTTTCAGAGCCGTGGGGAGGAGTAGTTTTCGATGCATTAAATCGCAGTGGGGAGTTGTAGTTACATTGTTCACATAACCCTCTCTTCCCTGGTGGGTTCCAGGCCCACATGTTTGAGGGGACAAAAGAATGGATCCACTGCCACCTAAAAAGCATGTTGTAAAAGGCGACTAATTATGACTGTGCTGAAATCGGATGTATTGGGACGAAAGGCGCATGTATCGCAGCCTAGCTGTAAACCACAGCATAACGTGCTAACGACAATTTTAAGAGGGTTAAAAAAAGTATTATCACCCGGCAGACTCAAGAGTTTGGTTCAAATTAAAATATATGACTTCTTGAGGCCCTGAATAAGATTTTGTTAACAGAATAATTTGGGACCGGTATTCGGAAGAGTGCCGGTCAGTGTTTTGTTTGTAACAGTAGGTAAATATTTTGTTTTGTTTGTAGCAGTAGGTCATTATTTTGTTTTGTTTGTAGCAGTAGTTTATTTGTTTGTAGCAGTAGGTTTTTGTTTTGTTTGTAGCAGTAGTTTATTTGTTTGTAGCAGTAGTTTATTTGTTTGTAGCAGTAGGTCATTATTTTGTTTTGTTTGTAGCAGTAGTTTATTTGTTTGTAGCAGTAGTTTATTTGTTTGTAGCAGTAGGTCATTATTTTGTTTTGTTTGTAGCAGTAGTTTATTTGTTTGTAGCAGTAGGTCATTATTTTGTTTTGTTTGTAGCAGTAGTTTATTTGTTTGTAGCAGTAGTTTATTTGTTTGTAGCAGTAGGTCATTATTTTGTTTTGTTTGTGTAGCAGTAGGTCATTATTTTGTTTTGTTTGTAGCAGTAGTTTATTTGTTTGTAGCAGTAGGTCATTATTTTGTTTTGTTTGTAGCAGTAGGTCATTATTTTGTTTTGTTTGTAGCAGTAGGTTGGTATTAGTTTGTTTTGTCTGTAACAGTAAGCTATATTTTGTAATGCTTGGCTGTAGATTGTTCTGGAAAGTGTCCAGGGTGCATTTCTTTAATTAGTGAAATGGTATTGATACTGCTAAGCACTGTGTAACCCTAAATATATTTTTGCAATAGAGCTAGTTGTAAAAATATTGCTTCATTATATATAGTTGTGTAATGTATAAAAAAAACTCACCCACTTCCATAGTCTATCTGAGAAAGATCCTGAACATTGACAAGACATGATCCTGGACACTGTCGTGCTGGACAAGGCTGGCATTCTCAACAAACAATGCCATCCTGGTGCAGTCACAGATCCTATGGACTATGTAGTGTATTGAATGTTCATCCATGAGATATCTTGTTGTTTCCGGTGCCTTCCACATCCTTATGGGGTATTTTAACCTGCACCTTTGACAGTAGTTTCAGACTGTCAGGACAAGTAGGTGCCCTCTGCCCAGCTGCTGAGTTATTCCCATGGATACTCGGTCCCGGATATCTGCGTTAGCCACAAATACATTGGATGGCTAAAGTAACAAACGATTGTTTGAAAGAAGCTAATGCAAGTAGATCTTTATATAAAACAATATGAAGGGGAAAGTGCTGTTCTTTAGCCACATAATGATAAGAGAGGCATTGAAAACATCATGACAGCTGGAAAGGTCAGTGGAAAGAGGTGTAGAGGCAAACCAAGAGAGATTATGCTAGATGGGCTGAAATGATGGCGTTGAGGGATAGCAACAAGAAAGCTGTTCCAGGCAACCAGAGATCATAATCTGTGAAGATGCATGAGCGCCTAGGCCATTTAGAACCCAGCTAGTATATATTAGGAATACACCAGTACATTTTTATGACTCAACCACACAAACCAAAGTGGTGCAGTTGGTGTTCAAAAAAGCCTACTTTTAATTTATTTATGTATATGGCATTGACCTTAGGCTGTTCCACTAACCATTATACTTGTCAAAGCAGATAAAACATAACTCATTGTGTAGTGTTGGGGATGGAACAATGCCCACAGTCTCCTTTGATTCTCTATAACCTGTTGGTGCCTCTCTTTTATTGTTCTGTTACAATGTGTCTTTAAAGGAGAGCTACACTTACACAAAACACACCTTTGTTTTCCTTCTGGTGGTCTGCTGTTGCATTCCTGACCTTTAGCAGCCCTTTGATGATTTATTGCAAATCTGCACTGACTGGGGAAGTGTCAGCAGTGAATAGTAAGCAAGAATAGTTGGTGTCAGTAGAACAGAACTGTTCCACGGGTCAGATCTGGCACCCAGAAGCCTAAGTGGCAGGCAGATCATATGCCAGTTAGTTATATTGCATTATTGATCTTTCTATGCTGCGGCTTAGGCCACATGCCAGTGACCATTTCCATTTTCCAACACTATGGCCCACGAGTAAGCTCAGTTAAATTGCTCTACTGTAGCTGATCCGGCAGGGTGGTAAAGTTCACTGTGGAAGAAAACTAAGCATAAGCCAGAAACAAATATCTTTCTTGGTAGAACCTTGTTCAGGATGTGGAGTGATACACTTTTTTAGACACTTATATGGATGCTTCTAGGGGAAGAGATATAGGAATGCAGCTCAGTTTTCATAGCATTAGGAACTTGTGAACATCTTAGGAAATTTTAACTTGTACAAGATGTAACATATTTCACATGAATGTCCAAGCAAGCAGTACTGTTAGGGAGCTGAAACGTGGACGACTAAAACAATTACCAATGTAATACAAATGGTGCCAACGCTGAATAGAAAGAAAAAACATGTAAGTGGTGTGACGCAATCTCTAAAATAAAGAGCTTTAAGTGAGAAATAAATCATTTCCAGTGAATAAGGAGGTGAGGAAAAGACGCTGAACAGGATAGGACACACACCCAGAAAGCCTGACAATATGATTAATTCATTGCGCTGGAAACAACAGGGCCAAGATAATAAAGTCCGATTCGCGGTACACAACACAGTGAAGAGAATAAAATAAGTCAAAAAGGATGGGTTGAGCTACATACCAGAGATTGAAGTAAAAGATACGCGTTAATTGAGAGCTAGTTCTCCTTTCGTATCTTTACAAGATAGTGTGTATGTGTATTTATGTAAACATGGCATCATGTGTAGCAGTCTGACAAATAAACTAGCATCTGTGAACAAGACAGTCACAAAGCAAGCCTGTGACGAGAGACGCCTGTGCGTGCTCAGACTTGGGCAACCAGCCAGATTCATTATCTCGTGTGTAGGCTGTAGTGCTGCTTCAGCTATTATTGGATTTCAGAATGGACTCGATTGGGCCTTCAGTGGTCGGCTGGTTGAGAGGGGACGAGGCGGCTCTGTGAGTGAGCGCTGGGCTGGATTAGAGAGGCTAGTCGAGGGAGGGGACTGTTGAGAGAGAGCTGGTTTGAGGGACGTGGAATGCCCACAAGTTGTGGACGGTTGGGGGTTGATCTGCTTTGTTTGCACACTGGTGACAAACTCGCCCCCTACCCTGACCCAGGAAGGTGATGAGATGGCCGTGGCGTGTGTGTTCGGAGTTAACAGGTATTGATCTTGGCCCTTTATGCCCGCCTGTACGCAGTTTTTATGATTAAGAGAAAGGGCAGAAGTTGGATCAAGGGTTTCCAGCGAGCTGGGAGGTCAGCTAATTTGAGGTCAGCTAATTTCGACTTGGTCTCTTTCATTCCTTCTCCCCCTTCTCTCTCTCTCTCTCTCTCTCTCTCTATATATATATATATATATATATATATATATATATATATATATATATATATATATATATATATATATATATATATATATATATATATATTATATCACCCTCCAACTCCATGCGCAAAGTCGGGATATGCTACATTTAACCCTCACCATTATTATAGCTTGGATTGATAAAATGACCGTAGCTCCCAGGTCAACACCGGTCTCATTGGATACCGAGTGCTAAACTGGGAAGTAAAGGAGGTCGTCTGATGCTGACCATATCACCCACCAAGTGCCGGTTGGTCTGTAAAATATAGCTCTAGTCCTATGTGCCCAATACGCCCGGAGGCATGGAAAGGGATCCTTTGCTTTAATTAACATTGCTTGACCTGGTCTTCCACAGAAACAGATGAACTGTAGACCAAACAAATTTCCCTTTGGGTTAGTGTCAATTGTTTCTTTGTCTTTTCATTGTCCATTGGGAAACCCCTATTTCGTTGCTTGGTTATAAAAGTGATGACAAATGGAAGCACAGATGGGCAGTGAAATATTCACATTTCTCTGTGTAATAGTAACCAGACATTAATAGTACCATGAAATACATTTTTCTGGTTGTAATTTAGGGCACTGGGGATCACGGTTTTTTAACTTTTTGTCTGCAAATGCTGTTCATTCAAAGAAAACTGTTTGTGGTATTTTCCCACGTGCTCGCGCACCCCCACCCCCTTTTTTTCTGCAGTGAAAATGGTTTCTGAATGAGGAATATATCCTAAACATAAAAGCAGATGGTGTGAGAAGTCTTCTTCTTCGCGTTCACCAGCTGTAAACTCTTGCGGACGGTTCTGGTTGCTCGTCCACTACTGAACTGCAGTCCTGCTCCAGAACCTGAGTGTTGCATGTGCATTAGTCGGCTCTTACGACCTGCTTTTGGGGAGGCAGTGGGTCTATTCTTGTTTTCCCCACAATGGGGCCCCGGAACCCACACAGGGGAGGGGTATGAGAAGTGAAACAGATTCTGTCTTTGTGAATATTTAATGAACCTCTGTCTCTTCTACTAACTGACCACTGTCAGGAGGTTGTGATAATGGTCTAAACACTAAACTTTAAGAGTTAAAACATTAAAAAGATAATGCTTATCTAGACTGTACATGCACATGTGCTGTATACATGTGTGTTCATTTCTCTTTGTTTATTTAATCCTTTTCCATTTGTAACAGAGAATCAGCATGTTCCCAAACATCACCGGTGGTTCCGGAAGAGGCTTGGTCCCCAAAACGGAGCCACATCATGGTCTTTCTTCTCATGGGATACCTTACGAGAAGATGTTTGAGCACAGGACAGACAACCAAATCAAAAAGGTAATTTTTTGTTTTAAATCTCCATCTTCTATGTTCAGTTGGTTGTCTAATATGAAAATGGTCTACACTTGAATTGACAGGGAGCTTTAACTGTTTTTGTTGTAGACCTTGCACGTACTGTATTGACTGATTTTGCTAATCCAGCCAACGGGCCATGTGTGATATCATGGTTAATAATCCATATGTTATGTGATTTTATTTCTTGAATTTAGTCATGCTAAAAAAAGCTGATTTGTAAATATATGGCTGATCCATAAGTCTTTATCCTGACTGAAGGAGTTGCGGGAAACAAAATTAGCACTTGGCATGTTAATAGCTCATTGTATTAAAACCTAATATGAGAAGTTTGCAGTTGATCCTTTGACAGGTTTTCTGTTATGGTTGGTGCACTGCGCTGTATACCCCTTTGATCTGATCTACTGCGTACATTTTTCATCACAAATAAAGACATTAGACACCAGAGCTGTAATAATTCCTGATATTGTTAAAATACTAACAGAAATATACATATATAGGAAGATGGAATCAGTATTTTAGAAATCCTGTCCCTCGCATGCCTCAATTAAAAAAATTGATGCAAGCAGTTTAATGTGGTCACACAAATGTTGATATGCCAAGATGTGGAAAAAACCCTTTGAAGTGCACTTACGAAGAAGCAGAAGGGAAGAAAATCAGTGACCAAGATCAAACGATGACTGTTGGGGATATTTCTAGCACAGTTGAGATGAGTAAAAGACATATTACAGTTGCTGGAATTTTACACAACAACCTGAATTTGAGGAACTAGTGTGCCCGCTGAATTCCGTGGCCACTAACACCTAGTATAAAATGGGCAATTAGAGTAACATGCTGTCGAGAAAGACTCAGAAAGAGTCTGTCAGAAAACATTTTAAAGACGGTGGTGACAGAAGACTTGACTATTATGACCCAATCCAAAATTGCCAGCATGCTTTGGAAAACTCCAGGTTCATCTGCACATGTCAAACAGAGAGCACAGAAATCTGCAAGGAATGTGATACTGATAGTTGGGGGGGGGGGGGGGGGGGGGTGCAAATAAGTTTCTTCTTTGAAAGCCTACATGCATCGAGGCCCACGTCTGTTTTTTGTTTTTAAGGTCTCCTCACGAAATTGGGAAAGGTTTTTATAAGAAAGCCAGGGATCGCCTGCACTCTGTTTCTTCCTTAGCTTCAGAACATTATCCTTCACAAAAGCTAACAATTTTGACATTAAAGTTCTTTCACACTCGCCATATTCACTAAAGCTGGCACCCTTAGACTTGTTTCTGTTCCCATACCTTTAATAAAATTAGATAAAAGGAATTAGGTTGCCTGTGATAAAGAAGTCACACTGACCATACACACACAGCCTTGTGAAAGTAATGCTTTTTTGATTATGTCGTATACATTATAAAAGAATAAATGTGTACTACTGCTTCTCACAGTACCTAACCGGGTGGTCGCAAAAGTTCAGAGCTGATGCATAATTGAAGCATAAAATGAATGTAACATAATTTAAAGAGCATTATTTTCACAAGGCTATATATCACAGTTTATAGTCAAAGCCACTGTCAGTAAGTAGTACACATTTGCTTATTTTATGACAATGTTTATCCTGTTTTTGAAGAGTTACCATTTCAGCTATTCATTTTTTTTTTTTGTCCATAGGAAGTTGAACTTGCAGATGAGAAGCGATACATAAAACCAGACTGTGAGAAGGGTTCGGTGTTTCCAGGCTATGCGTATGGTCCCGGTGGTTACCACCCTGGCTCAGGTATGCCACAGCCTGGTCAGAAACCATTTTTTAATTTATATGGCTATCCATCCTCACACTCCACAATCACTCCAGAGCAGCTCAAACAGAGGGGTCTCAATCCAGAACTGAAGCAAGCCAAGGAGGAGTTGGCTGAGAAGAAACATTCATATTCTTCTGTCAGTTCCCACACAGCCACTCCTGTTAATTTAAATCAAGTCTATTCTTCAATGGATATTAAGCGGGAGCCGCACAACTCTGTAATTGTTAAGAGAGATATCAAGTTGAAGATGGAGAACCCGGTGGCAGCACACTCTCATCACAGCTCATCCTCCTCCTCATCGCCAAGGCCACAGCAACCCAGACCAGCACACACTCCAGAGCATCATCGGCCAGACAGGCCTCTGGCTTCTTCCACTAGTCCTGCATTAGGCAGACATCCTCACCAACTCCATCATTCCAGTCCAGTACCTGCTGATGCCAGCCATCCACCACCATCTAACAACGTGCCATCATTTCGTTCAATTGAGGCTCATCCACCCACCAGATCTCAGAGTCCCTACAAGCCGGCAGCTAGTCAGTTACAGTCCCAGCCACTGAACTTTTGTAAAACCTCTGGTGCTAACAAATTACATGAGCAGCAGCAGCACCCTTCCCATGTGCACTCGGGATTTCCATCTGTGGCCCAGCTACCTGTCTCAGTTCCAAGTTCTGCATCATACAGCTTCAGCCTCATTCAGCAGGGTTTAGTCCCAAACCCCATTTACAGCCACATTGGCTCTTCTCACCCTCCTGGTGTATCTCCTCAGATTAGCCAGGTTTCTATAGCTGGGCAATCCTCAAATTCAGTAATGGACTCCACACGTGTACAGCTTAGTCCACCTGGGAGCAAGAGAAAAACTGGCAGCAAAGATATTAGTTCTTACAGCAGGAAAAAGCCAAAAGGACATCCTGAAGTGTCTGTGGCAGGTCACCCTATGTCCATTCCAGAGACTACACCGCAGGTCTTCACAAATTCATCACCTTACACCACCACTACCATAAGTGGCGCTGGCTTATTAACTAAACCTGGAATTAATTCAGTTAGGTCGTCGTCATCCCCATCGTCAGTAGGCACCAGTCATTCACAAATAAATTCAGGCTTCATGGACAGTTTTAAGTCGTTTGTAGAAAACACAGTTCAGAATGCATTCCTCCAAGATGAGAAGAAGGCACAGGAGACCGCTGAGAGGGAGAGGATGTCTGCTCTGTCGCTTTCTCCTGGTATCAAGAGCGAGTTAAATTCTCACGAAAGAAAACCTGACAGTAGTGTGCAGCCCGTGAATGGTGGTTCCCAGTTGACAGCCTCGCCAGCCACAGACCCAGATGTGCCTCAACCTAGTACAGTTGACTCGTACAACAGTCGCATTATGGACACAATCAACAGGGTGGCAAACAACCAGGCTGACACCGACTCGGACACACTCAGTGCCTCCAGCCCTCCACCTCATATAAAACCCTCAGATACGAACTCCCCTCTCAGCAGAAGTGGTAATGGTTCAGGTTCCAGCCACCCTCATCACATGAAAAAGGCTTGGCTTCAAAGGCATGATGAGGATAAGAAGTCTGAAACACCTGTATCAACACAGTGTGACGAAGATTCAAACTCTAGCCTCAGCCATAGCAGGGATACAATTAGCTGTGTGGAGAACCCTTCTGTTCCGCTACCAGACTGTGGGCAGAGCAGCAGTTCATCACCAGCGGATGTTGTGGTGACCTTGTCGAATGGTAACATTAATGATCTCAGTCAACACAGTGATGAATCTACCTCATCGGCGTCTGAGTCTGAAATGCAGGTGAGATTCCACTCCAGTGTTGTTCTGTGCATTCATGATTTAATAAGTAGCTCTCTTAAGCAATGGTATAATACATACCCTCATCATCCCTGTGTAATTTGGGGAGGGGAAGGAGCGATAGACCTGCTGTCACTAGCAAGTATGTCATAAAATGAACACAAATGGATATCTTTAATAAAGGTCTGCTCAAATTAAATTTAATTTGTCTGAAAGCTGCAGATATTGCAGCCATCTATGAACCACACATAATATACCGCTTACCTTTATCAAGTGTATGCAGAAGGACATTACACACACTTATGTTAGTATAGTATAATTCTCTTCAAAATCAGAAAATGCAAATAAATTATATGTTTTAAAAAAAAAAGCACTTACATATCTGGCTAGGGAAGATGAAGTTGGCACACTTTCCTATATTGGAAGTTGGGATATGTGACAGTTTTCTAGTCACCTATGAACAAACATAAGAGCTTTCTGAATTAAAACTATATAGCCCCATGAGGCGGGTCTTAATTTGTTTTCATTAATGAAAGTGATACAATCATTATTTTGCTGTGATTTTTTTTTTAATTGATAAGTTGCTGACACATTGACCCTTGTATAGCAATTCTTCTTAAAGTCTGTGGTGTTGGTATAGCTATGTCTACCACAACCTTCTGTCTTGTGTACTTCCAATCAGATTTAACACAGATGATCCTCCTTGTCCTTATGTCAGACCGTACAGCATCTTTTCTTTAAGTCTCCTTTTGCCTCTCCTCCCTTCCAACTTTCCTACGGTCACAGTGTACTCCAGTTTTCTCCTTCTCATCACGTGACCAAAGAGTTTTCTCCTTCTCATCACGTGATCAAAGAGTGTAGATTGTCTCTTTCTGATGTGGGCAGTCGGTGCTCTTATAGCAGTAAGAACCCTGGAATTAGTAGTCTGAACTGTGTTGGAAAAACCATATTAGTGGAAACATTTTATATTTATGCTAAAAGTAAAAGGACCCTTTTCCACCCCTTGGGTGTATGGTAGCACCATTTATTTTGAACCAGTGTATAATTCATGTGTTATTGAGCCATTACCCTATGAATCATCATTCTTCTTCTTATCTCTTACTGGAGCACACATTAGCTGCTGCGTCCTGCTACCCCTGTGCAGATTTGTTGAAAGATCGGGCTCTGCCTCTGAAGTTTTAAGAGATGAAGTATGTCATGGTTCTCATTTGTTCTTGGTTCAGCCTGGTCCCTGTGTCTATTAATCCTCACCTTAGAGGACATTCATGGACATGACCTGTATGTCTAAATCCCCACGTTTGAGGACATTCATGCACATGATCTGTATGTATAAATCCCCACGTTTGAGGACATTCATGCACATGATCTGTATGTATAAATCCCCACGTTTGAGGACATTCATGCACATGACCTGTATGTATTAATCCTTACGTTCGAGGACATTCATGCACATGACCTGTATGTAAAAATCCCCACGTTTGAGGACATTCATGCACATGATCTGTATGTATAAATCCTCACATTTGAGGACATTCATGCACATGACCTGTATGTATTAATCCTCACATTTGAGGACATTCATGCACATGACCTGTATGTAAAAATCCTCACGTTTGAGGACATTCATGCACATGACCTGTGTGTATAAATCCTCACGTTTGAGGACATTCATGCACATGACCTGTATGTATAAATCCTCACGTTTGAGGACATTCATGCACATGACCACTGAGTTAGCAGACAATGAATAAATTAGACGAGTTCTGGGTTTGTAGTAAAACTGTTGAGTGTGGACTTCTTGTAGTATGTAGCATCGATAGTCATTATATCCATAGCGTTGTCTTGTGTACTTTGTCATTTCTGACCCTAATATTCTTCCATGCCATGATGTCCATGACTGTCAAGCATCTTCTCTCATGGACTCCCTCCCCTGTGTCTTTTTCACGGTCATGATGTAGTCCAGTTTTTCTGCATCTCATGGCATATCGAAAGAATATAGATTATCATCTTCTGATGTTGACAGTCGGTTCTCTTCCTGAGTCAGTTTCTTTTAGAACATTCTCATTACTCTCTTGTCTATCCTGGAGGTTCTCATCATTCAAAAACTACATCTCCATCGCTTTTACATTATTTTTCACGAATTGGCCTTGACTCTCTGCTAAATATGTTTTCTGTGTAATGACATTGAAAATGCCCTTGTTGACTACTGACATTACCATCTGCTTATTTATTACACATACATATAAAGGTTAGTTGCGGATCCTTTACAGGACGTTGCGAAACCAACACAAACAGCACCTGGCTGTTGTGTGGTTTTTCTAGGCAAATTTACGTCCAGTAGTTTGACATTACTTTCTGGACGGGTCAGCTTTCTTGGTACCACTGTCGAAACCAACGCATGGCCCGCAGCTGGGATCGATCCAAGCATTACGAAGCGTTCGCATCGGCTTAGCCACAGAGCCAACACACATACATATAGTGGGATTATATTTGTGCCATGTGATCATGCTCTGCTGACTGACATCTGCATTTAGTTAAGAACTAAAATAGAGCATTCAGGGCATTCCAGTTACCACTGTCTTTATCTTCAGCTTTAATTCCAGCATTTTAGTATTAATATGTTGCCAGCTACATACTAATTACAGTAAAACCTTGGTAACGTGACAAATTGCCAGCAGGGATGTATTGGTATTATGTATATGAATGTATAGTCTATGATTAGCATCAATGTGTATAACGTGAGCTCTTTTTAGTGTCTTTGAATTTGTGTTCACAAGGTTTTGCTGCAAATTTGTTGTCATTCTTTTCCTCTGAGTTTTGTCTGTCTGTTCCTAGCAGTTCCTGGTCACATTCTATAGAAGAAATTGTGGATAGAATGGAGCTAACAAGAATACATTTGATATCAGCAGTCCTTGGTTCAATTTAATGTTGCATCACCACTAGAAGTCATTCACTGCGTTGGGGGGGGGGGGGGGGGGGGGGGGGCATGTGTCCAGATCAGTCTGTGTTCATGGTTTGTGCGTATCATTTTGATTTGTAGTCATTTAATGATTACATTGCTTCCAAGCTAAATGGAAATACCTTTTTGTAGCTGTTCGTAAAGTGGCAAAGATCCTACTATGGATTATGTTGTGCCTGATTATGACTTCTTGTAGTGTTCTGAGATATCATTACTCAGTTTTAATCTGAAATTAGTCACTAAAGATTCTGTAACATTGTACAAACAAGAATCATTCATCCAAACCACCTCCTTATGTTTGTTCCGGGCGCCCGTTTCTTTGGGAAGAGGGTGGGTAAAACGCCCACGTATAAAGCATGTAATCAGGGGTTTACTTCAAAGACATCCCTGATTAGTCGCCTAACTTATTTTGTGAAACCTGTTGGTTCCTGACTGACTATTCAGGCAGATGAGGGCAGTATGATATCATGGTAGGGAAGAATATTGGGATCAGAACCGATTGAAAGTATAAGACAAGGTGCATCTGCCTGAGTAGTTAGGAACTAACAGTTTACACACAAATAAGTTAGATCTGTACAAGTGATGTCCATGCAGAACTCGTCCATGCAGAACTCAAGTTTTTTCATTACACCAAAGTCCAGAAGTGGACAAAGAACCAGAACTTTCCACCGGAGTTTACAGCCAGTGTGCAGTAAATAGATTCAAACCACCATTATAAGTGTTGGAAAGATCCATCTGCTTCTTGTGAAAGTGCAAAATGTTAGATAAATAGGGCTTCCATTTGTGTTATGTTCCAGTTTTCATTAATTCTGCTAACCCCTTTGATCAGACTACATTAGTCTATTTAATTTTGCTAAAGCGTGTTAAGTCGATTGTATATATTTATGGTTGGTTGTCTGATTGCTTTTAGCAGCGCTTATAAAAAATTTGACTAAGTTAGTCTTACATGACATTTGCCTTGCAACATATAGATAATTAAATTATAGTTTCACAACATAAACAAAAAAGCCACACACAAAAATCAGCAAAGATCTGCTGATTATTGAGGGGGTTTTTGTTAAAAAAACCATGAGTTCTTAACCCTTTGGCTCGGTACTATGGATACGCAACCCTTCGGCCTTGATTCCACGATAAATGCCGTAAATCTGGGAGAAATGTGGCTTTTCTGCCTACCCCCAGGAGTGAACCCAGACCACAAGGAGTTCGTTACCCGATCGTTGCAAAGTCGGGTTAAGCTGATCTGATTGTTTGCTAGCAACATGGCTAAATAATGTCAGATCAGTTACCATCATCAAAGCTACGGTTATCTGTGTTGTCCCTTGCCAGTTTGGTGCATGTAACTTATGTTGTTTAGGTTTAAACAACGGATCAACATAAAGTGCTTATAGTTTTTTAACAGTGGTATTGAAGATATGGCTTCACCACATTATATTCAACAGTGAGTGTGCCATAGCCAATCGTTATTATTAAGTTTGTAGCACAGGATTTGTTATAACTATAAATTAAACTTTATACCTATACTTACTTTGTCAGTTTCTACCTTTTAAGTGTCGTAAGTCATACATTTCTCTTGCCAGTTATAATATTTTCAGGAATTCTTTTTTTTTTTTTGGCAGAAGTTTCTAGATAGTCTGATTTTTCTGAGAATTCCTGAGTGACCTATAACATACCGTTTATCGTCATAATATATTGACATTGTACTGGCTTTTTTTTGGGTCTCTGTTTCTACCCTGAAGTGTGGAGGTTATGTAGAGAGGAAATTACCAGTTTTTCTTTTAGCCCTATTGTCCTTCATTGTCTGCTGGCTGTCATCATTTGGGCATTGTAGCTCCCTTTAAGCCATCTTGATTGATCTTTGGCTTTGTTCTTCTATGCTGCTTGCCATCTGCTTCCATCCTAACAGAATCAAACTATCTTCAGCATCTATTTATATATTAAACATTTCGCATGAAGCGTATTGGATGAATCTGAACCTCAGTTTCTATGAAAAGGATTTAGACAAGCGACATGTGCTGTTTGTAGAAATTGCTTTTAAGTTCCTGTCCCTATTAGGTAGAAAGGTTTGAGAATTGGTGAAACTTATACACACTATCCCCCTCTCCCGCTTTATTATATGTGATGCTGTTTGTTGAGAAATTCTTCACTTTCTCATTACCTTGGGGGGGGGGGGGGGGGGGGGGAATGTAAGGATCATTTGTATGCTCTTTTAAATAAGAAGAATTCTGATTTGCTTATATCATCACCAGTTGATAATACCAGAATCAGATATAGTGACTGCATAAAACTGACATTAGCCACAGAGCAGATGCGGCTGCTGTGTGGTGTAAAGTGTTAATCCCTGAGACGGAAAACAAGAATAGACCCACTGCCTCCTCAACATACATGTCCTAGGAGTCGACTAATTAAGGACATCCTTCGAAGTCAGAGTACATCTGCCTGAGAGGCAAGGGACTGCAAATCTATAAAAATAATCCAGATCTGTGAAATGATTGTGCACACCACACTCAGGTTCTAGAAGAACAATACTGTAAAGTGTAAAGGTCAACAAACACCGAGAGCTTTCCGCAGGAGTTTACAGCCAGTGAACGTAAAGAAATTTTTTTTAGTTAATAAAAATCAGAGCAACAGTTTGAATGGACTTCTAATTAATCTAGAGAGAAAAAACACACAATGGACCTGTGCATTTGTTTTGACACATTTACTGTCAAAATATTGTTGATATCAGTTGACATTACCTGACATTTTCTTATTGCACAGAGTTCATCCAAAACACAGAAAAGGACACTGTCGCATAGGTCAGGAAGTGGATCTTCTAAGAAGGTCAGATCATCAGATGTAGATAAAGAGGAGACCTCCCCTTCTCGCCCCCTCACCCCCAGCAGTAACAGTAGCAACAGCAATAGCAGTTTCCAGAAGAAAGCCAGCAGCAGCAAGCGAGGCAAGACAGACAAGGAGAGCAAGTCAAAGGTACATGGTGCTAACATTGATGCATTTTTACAGAGGATAAGTAAGTAGTTAAAGAATACAGAAAGATGTTTTACTGTTCTCTCCCCTCCCCTTCCCCTTTTGCTTTTCTTCCAACGGAGCATAGACCAGCAACTAAGATACACCATGTTGTCCTGACCTCTGCTGCAATATAGCCTAGCTCAAACCCTCTCTCGTGTTTTTACATCAGTCTGTAATTCCCTTTTCCTGGTTGTTTGGCCAACCTTTATTCTTCTGTCTCTGTGGGTTTCATTTTAAGGGTGTTCTTGGTATATTGTTTTGAGATTATTTTACTCTCAACCCCTCTTATACTGAATACTGTCTGGACTTTCCTGACATCAGTGATTAGAACCAGGAATTTGTTTCTAGAAACATTTGTTGGTGGGAATAGTTTTGTTTAAAGTCACTTGCTTTTGTTTACCTTCAGCGAAAGCTAGACAAACAATAGACACTTGTATTTAGTCCACATTTTATGGACATTGTGCTGTTGCTCAGTTTTTGCCAATATGGCTCTTTCAATTATAGAAACTTTGTTACATTTAAAGATTTAAAAAAAAAAGTGGTTTTACAGCACTTAGCTGTGTCTACCTAGAGGAAAGTAGTGCCGGATCAAATCCAGTTGCCAGCAGTAAAACCTTGCTTTGAAGGATTTTCTGTTCAAGAATTGTTTGCTGTTTTTTTTTAAATATTTTTTTAATTTTGGAAATGATAGATAGAAGTTGCATTAATTATATTTAGATTGAGTCTCTCTGTTAACAGAGTTGGGAAATAAGATGAGATAAGTATATAGATGTGAGCTATACAGTCAGTCTAACAACTTTATTCGAACCCCAGGAGAAGAACACTAAGATGTCAGCTTCAGCAACTGCATCATCTTCATCACCACATTCAGAGCACTCAAACCCATCCCCAGCACTGTCAGAGAGCAACACAGCAAACATGTCACCAGCTTCCTCCACATCATCCAGCAGTAACACACATACAACAATGCCAAAACTAAACAGCAGCAGTAAGGACAAGAAGAAATCTGAACATGGGAAGGAGCATTCAAGGGACAGCAAAAAAAGTAAGTCCACACCACCTCTCTCTAGTAATCTCTGACATACTTGGTATGTTATTGTTACTATTCTTTGCCAGTGAGTCGTAATATTGTTAGTGTTTGTGTTGTTCTTGATGAAAATTGTTAAATTAAAAAAAAATTGGGGTATGCAGTATATGCACCAAACTCCAGCAATCTATAGAGAAGAAACATTTGAGAGAAAACTGGCCTCAAAATGGTAAGAGTATCAACTTTTTTATGTGGCTGAGCGTGCCACTCCTGCATTGGATTTTACAGTCATAGCAGATGCTGTTCCCAAAAACACCAGCATATCTCAGTGGTCCACAGGGAACTAATGGTAGCCTACTACTGTATAATCTCATATCCTCCAGCCACTTTTACTTTCCCAGAGCAATTTTTCTAAATAGTTGGGTGAATCTCTGCAGTCTCTACTACTACCTCTGGCATTCACCGGGTGCAAACACTAGCAAAACGTTCTGGTTGTTTGTCATCTTCTGGACTTCTTATTCCAGGACTTGTTTTGCATCCTCATCCAGTTTGCAGATATAGCTTATTTTTATGCAGACTATTTGTTTCTTGTCTCTTGGGCAGATGCAATCTGATTTTGAAAGAAACACCTTATTAACCGCCTTGACATGATTATTGGGGGGGGGGGGGGGGGGGGGGGGTCTATTCTTTTTCAACCCTAAACCTATATAAAGAACTTCTGCAATAAATTAGGGAAATTGCTGCCATCACTGAGGAGGTTGCAAATTCTAATGCAGGGCTTTTCAACTGACAACCAGTCAACTAAATCTAGCTGGCAGTGACATGTGGGTCACCTGGCAAATATAATTTATTCATGGTCTTTCTCCCACAGAGACATATAAATAAAGAAAGACCAAAAAACACATGGAGACAGAAGCCAGAGAGTGAAGTTAAAAAGATAGCTGCATGCGACAGCGAAGAAAGAATTGAGTGACTTGGCCTTGAGTTGATTAAGGGTCTATGCTCCATTGGGAGTTAGAACAGTGAAAGAGTGAACTTTCTGTGCTGCAGCTCTTACCTTTGGCCCATTACGATAAGTATTTTGAACCCTTGGTAAACCTCGTTGAATAACCCAGTTCTCAGGCATTAACTGAATATAACAGATTGTGTCATAAACAGTACCTTCTGACATTTGATATTTCAGGCTCTTCCTTCAACAAGCCCCTAGTGAAAATGACTGTGTCAATACTGAAGAGGACAATGATGCCCTTTATCCAAGATGGATCTTGCAGTGAAATTACTCCAAAGCTGAACAAATGCAGAGAGTGTAAAATGACTCCCATCCAGCGTAGCAAGAAGCAGCCCAATATCTTTTGTAGATTTTATGCATTTCGAAGGTAATTTTTATCCTCAGTATGTAAATGTTTAGCATTAAGTTTGGTTTAATCATAACACTTATATATTACATAAAAGTCCGGTCTGACAACATCAGATAGGAATGCATGCAGAACAGCTACCAACGTAGAGCTATGTATGAACAGATCTGAAGTGAAAGCAAGAGGTCGCCCTAGGAGAATATGAATTCATGACATTAAAGAGCTTCTACAATGACAATAGCCATTGCTGCTGCCCATCTAGTATCAAATTGCAAACTGTTTTTCCCAGGACACTTAACGGCAGAAGTGGAAATTGATGATAATGATGAAAGTCTGGGTTGATTTTTTTTTAAAGCATGTTAACATAGCAAAGAGAAAGTATATGCATAAAGTAACATCGACTGAACAAGATACAGTGTGTTGTGTTACCATCAGTGAAACAGAAACATGAAATATCATATTTAGCAGCTGGCGGGATTTGGTTGTAGGCTGAGATTTAAAGGTGGCTTATCTTCACTGCTGTGGTATACAGTAGGCAAGCTGGTTTTTTGTTACCTCTGATGGATGCAACTTTTGCTCACTGCAGGATTTAATTCCATTTTTCCATAAACTTGAGGCAGGCATTCTATCTTTTTAGCCATCAGCTGCTCAGTAAATAATAGGTACTGGAATTCCCATTAAAGGTGGTTCTTTTTGGGTTGTGACCTGTAAAACCATTGCATGTACTTGCCAAATTTGTGATCCCCTTTCCTTCCTAACACACTTCTCTGGTAAATTCCAGAAATTGACCGATACCTATTTTCAAGAAGTCTGGTGTGACCCTTGTGCTGTTTGGAGTACCACTACTGTGGATTGAATGACCCTTTCACAGAGGTCCATCAGAAAACACATATTCACTGAAGTTATGAAGTAGCAACAAAAGCAGTTGTATGGTTGGGGGTCACCACAGCAAAAAGAACTGTATTAAAGGGTTGCAGCTTTAAGGAAGGTTGAGAATCACTAGTTTGGTAGGTCTGAATTTCTCACACTGTTATACAAATCTGAACCTTTAGTGTTAGGTATAAAAAGTTGGTACCATAGCTTTTATAATAGATCATTTTTCATTGTATATAAATTTCTATTTCTGTAATGATGTCCCTATGTTCCTTTGTAGGTTGAAATACAATTCTCGAGGAATCGTTACCATCCACGGATTTTCAGAACTCTCGGATGCTGATCCAGATGATATAGAACCTTGGCTTCCTCGATATCCAGGTAACTGCAGCTCTTATTGTGTATGTCAGGGCTATTCAACTAAGTTTACTCAGGGGATGGTCACGGGCGAGATGCTCAGTCCCAAAGTAGAAAGAGTGTAAATGCAAAACAACTGGCAGATGATCTGCGGGCCACTTGTTAGGCCTTCGAGGGCCAGCTTTTTCCCCGCCGGAAGCCAGTTGAAAAGCCCTGGTGTATGTGGTCTGTGTTCTCCTTGTTGTTAGGATATTGATGTGCCAATTTACATTTTCATACAGCAGTTAATAAATACATCACTTTATGTCTATAGTTATTTCTTCTTTGCCCATGACTTTACACATCTTATTGTCATGTGAGATGAGGTGTGTAAGAAATCTGGCGGGAACAACATTAAACGACACCACCGAAGAACTAATAATGGTAGACACAGTATCTGTAAGTGATTTCCTATAAAATCAAAAGTTTTGTTAATCTGGTCAGAATAGGACAAAATTGGCCAGTAGCTGGCGCATACGCATATAAGAGGAGCAGCAGGCTACAAGGCACGAGTCTGACCTAAAAAATACGAAGAGATGAGTGTAGGGAGTAGAGAGACTACAGAAACACAGTATGACTTAAACACGTTAGACAATTAGCAAAAGACAGGAAACTACATCTGACTACTCTCTGCTTTGCTTTATGGCGTAAGCAGTATGACAAAAAATTAAGATTGTCATCTAATCTGTTTTAGAAAAGAAGTTATCGGTATATTATTTATCACCTAGGTGCACATTTTACGTTTCCAAATGCATTTTTTGGGGCCACCTTTGTTGTGTAAAGTATTTACGTCATTTTGCTGTCAGCTTGCTTTTCCAACCCACCCACCCCTTCCCGACGCTCCTTGTCCTTTACGGAAGGGGGGGGGGGAGGCTTTAATGTTAGAAATCTTAATCTTTATGTTGTTGAGTGAGTAAACATATGTTCTACTATTTACTGCCATTCAGTGGAAGAGCCAGAACTTGATGTTGAAAACTCCAAGTTCATTATTGCCAAAGTTGGAGACAAGTTCTGTGAGCTGGTGGAGCAAGAAAAAGAGGCCAAGTCTTGGGCAGGAGATAATGGTAGGTGAAGTTAACATCCTAAAATGAAGAAAACTGTAGACAAGAAACAAAAGTTATGTGTGTTACTTTCAATGAGGCACAGTTGAAGTGACTTATGGGGAGGCCAGGTTTCTTTGTATGCTTTGACCAAATGTTTTTGAAAACAAAAACCAGTGTGAGAACACAGGCAGAAATTCTAGTCACATTATGTGTTGCTTGGGAGTGAAGGTGTTTAGGTATTTTCTATATCTTGAGAATGAAAGCTTGGTGAAGAAAAAATAGGTTCAGTTTAACAATGAGTCTGGCGTCTGGCTTATTGGTAATTCGGTACCACTTAGCGGTAATTAGACAAGACAGGATTCTATTGGCCAAGGGAGTACGTGAACATAAATAGAAGAAAAATCTGTCTAGATAGAATGGTGCCACATAAACTAGGCAGGGAATCTGGCCAGTACTTAGCGCTCAGGGTAAGGTGAGCATATCGGACTGAATCTAGCACTCTTGGTATTGAAACTCTGCGCAGATTGCTAAAAGTGGGGATGTAGGTTTACTATGTTGCTGTCTGACAGTGCTGGGGATGGGTTTGAGTGCTGTGAATGTGGTGATGAAGATGATGCAGTTTTTGAAGCTGGTCTTAGTGTTTTTCTCCTTGAGTTTGAATAAAGTTTTTAGCCTGACTAAATTGTTCACATCTACAAATGTATCTCACTTTACTTCCTAACTTTGCTAACAGCAAGACTCAATGTAAATAAACTTTAATCTGTGAAATTTCTGTCCAGCATTTCACTAACTTGACTTATTACATAATGTGTCATAGATGCTTATTTTGGTTAGCTAATATTTTTCATTGTTTTCAGTGAATATTGTCTGGAAACGAGCTGTTGTCGGAGTCCGAGAAATGTGTGATGTCTGTGACACCACATTATTCAACATGCACTGGGTGTGTCATAAATGTGGATTTGTTGTCTGCCTCGATTGCTATGAAGTCCGCATAAAAGAAAGCAAAAGTAAATATTTTTTTTCTGTTTGTCATGGAATAATAGTTTGTAAGCAGATATATGTACTTGGTTAATTGTTGATAGTTAGTTAATCAAATGATCATCCTCATCTCACATTGGACTAAGCCGTCTTCTTTGACTACCTGTATAGTGTTCATAGCTGACATCTCTTTTGATATGAAGCTCTTATATTCCTGTTAAAGTTGTCAATTCACCATCATTTCCGTAATCATCTACTTTGTCTGGCCTTCTTGAGACCATTAATAAAATTTGCTCAGTTGATTGCTTTTCCTGTGTCTGTGGCCAGGCCTGCAAGCCAATCCATAGATTCTTTCCCTCTTACCCCTGAGTGTCCTGTCAGAAAAATGAAAGATTTCTGTGAGACAAGGTTTCCTCAGAGACTCCAAACAAAGCTGGATGTCTTTGAACACACCCTGTCTCATTCTTCTTAAACAGCTCATAGAATCAGTCAGAAAGCACACACAAAATACAAAAATATATCTTTCTGGTCAGGTCTCCAATTCTCACTGCGATCCTATATTTTCATGGTATTATTGCTGTTTTTCCCCCCTTATCAAACTGTTTAAGCTATTCGCATCTCTCTCTCTCCCTCTCCCTCTCTTCCCCCTCTCTCCCTCTCCCTCTCTCTCTTCCCCCTCTCTATCTCTTCTCCCTCCCTCTCTATCTCTTCTCCCTCTCGCTGTCTCTCCCTGTCCCTCCCTTTCTTCCCCCCCCCCCCCTTATTTTCTCACACTGTTAATTATTCAACTATAATCTTACCCACGTATTTCATATCCTGTTCTCTCCTTATGGTTGTGATAAATTACCAGTCCATGCCCTGGGATTTTTTTTCATCTCCTGTCCATGGTATTCTCAAAAGCCACATTTCCATAGCTTTATGTCTGGTTTGCCATGTGCACACCACACCCAACTGTCTAGTAAATGGATTAATGTAACATTTCTTTCCTTATACACCTTGTCATTATTACAGTTCATTAATATAGATTTAGTCTGCTCTTAATTAAACCTCTTTTTGTATGCTGATAATAGCTGTGTTTCCTGTTGTAATCTTACAGAGGGCTGTAGCGACGATAAATGGCTGACATGTAGCTCAAACAGGCAAGCCCATAAAGCCAGTGAGATGATGCTGACACAGATCATTCCTAGTGACGGTGAGTTTGTCTTTGTGTGTGTTTACAGTGATTACCCACTTTCCATGTAAAACATTCACTCTTGGTGCTGTCTAATACTGTCCAGTGATTCACTGACAGTAAAAGACAAATGACATTTAAATATTTTTGTTTTTGAAAAAGGGGGTTGCACATATGTTATTCATATTTGGCTCATTTGTTTGCAGACTCTTGGTTCCTTGCAACTCAGGCAGATTCATTTCAAAGAAAACACCCACTGATTAGTCGACTTTTACAACATGGGGGGGGGGGGGGGGTGTCTGTTTTCACACGCACATATGATGGAAGTTTAAACCAACCCGGTTAACTATTATCTTATAAAAGCTGAGAGCAGGAACCATTTTCTTTTCTGTATAAATCTTGTTAGAATCGCCTGAACTTGACTTTATTTATTCCTGTCTGTTGCAGCTCTATGGGAACTTGGGAGGCTGATTCATGACATCCGCATGAAGTGGTCTATCCCCTCCAACTGTCCATGTGGCGGAAGTAATGTGGAAAATAAAGTTGTGACCAAAAATGGAATAAACCAGGTAGGTGACTATTGCCATGAGTAATATATTTACTTAATGTTTTAGTGTGTATATGTGGGCTGGAGATTTCCCAAGACGGAACAGTAATTTACTTAGCACAATGAAGGAAAACTTTGTTGCAGTATTGACTTCTGGTCCAATATTGCGGATGGGCAGGGCAGTCTGTTTAGCCTTAAAATAATATGTTTTCTTCTTGGAATGGTTTGGTAATGCAGTTTCCACATATGAACTGGAGTTTGCAGTTTTGCTGCCTAAGCTACCAAGTTAAAATGTTTGGTGCAGCACTATGAGCTATGAATTTGTGTCCACGGCGGTTGCATCCTGATATTCAGTAAACGCTGGTCATTTTATTCTAGTAAGAGGGCTTTTTTTTGTACACTAGTAAAGTTTTTTCTTTATCGGGAACTGCAATGGCCAAGTGATTAAGTTACTTGCTTACTTTCCTTTCCATTTTACAAAACAAAAATAAAAAGCTTGAACACGTTCAACCTGCTTTTGGTAGCCGAAGCTGCTAAGTTTCTAGTTTATTTGTGGTCTGGTTTATTTGTGCAACTTTTGTGGCTACGGTTATGGTATGTGAATTAGCTCTCTGACTTTACTGCATTTCATCTGTTTAATTTTTCCTTTCTCAACAGTTGGTGAATGCTGTGAGCACTCGCAAAATTCCTAATGGCTACGGCTCAGAAGAACATGGTGGGAAAAATGTGAAGTCTAAAAAGCATCAGGACTCGGACCCATTGAAGAATTTGGATGCATACAATCCCGATAATGCATCATCTCCCTTGAGCATCCTGGCTGAAGTTGCTTCGATGGAGCCAGATTCCAATAGGGACAAGTCAAACGTCAAGAGGAAAGCAGACAAGTCCTTGGTCCCAGAAGAAGAGCTCCTAGAAGAGTCTGACAAGAAATCTGGTTGTTCAACATTACGAGAGTTACTGACAAAAACGGCAGGAAAGGTTGGTATTCATTGTTTTTTCAGTTTGATTTTATGTACATGCTAGTATATCTCGAGCAGTGAATATATTGTTTCCTAGTTGATCCCACTACTAAATGGTAACTTAAATATGTTTTGTACATGTGTAATAGTATTATATTGAACCCTTAAAGTACTGTTTGTGTGTGAAAGAGTGAGATGATAGAAGGTCTGCATGTATTCATATAAGTCCTTTAAGTTTGTGGTCAGGTGACAGTTTTACTTGCATGAAAAAGAGACAAGCCATTTTGAATATTTTTAATACATGTCTTGGGATTTTAAAAAAATAATCCCATCTTGGGAGTTATCTTCTCAGACCTGGAAATGGATTCTACATTAGCAGTAGTTAAATAGTGACTGGTTCAGACAAATTAGAATACAAATGAGTTCCTGTGCTTTCTTCAACAGAATAAATGTAGAAACTACACAGATCTATAAACGATTTTTAGAACAGTATAACTAGAATGTATTTAAACTGGAATTCACAGGGTCATAGAAATAAAAGCATACTAAAAAGACATGTGGAGAAGGAAACAAGAGTTAACTTAAAAATATGGGGAGGAGATGGAGTAAGCTGCATGTGATAGCAGAGGATAGAATGGCTTGCAGGAGTTGGTTGAAAATTAGCAGAAGATTGCAGAGATAACAGGGCTTGATTTTGAGGGCTTATACTCTATGGTGGACAAAAAGATGGGTTTTTTTCTCATGAAACCATATTTTCATTTGAGGGTTGGTACATAATTGTGTGTGGTAACTTGTGTTTCTGCAGCCTAAAGGTACAAATGATAAGAGATCAAAGAAGAGCAGTGGGCTGAGCACACTTGACAACATCATCCAGTCAGTTGTGGAGAAGAGCTGCTCAGATGGTGGTGCTCCATTCAAGTTTCTCCATTACACACCTCGACTGGGTGGGTGGAAGCGGGAGCTGCCCATTATGGTGCACAACCTGACAGAAACCAGTGTTCTCTACCCGGACGTCCCCCATTCCTGGCTGTGTGATGGCCGTCTCCTTCGATTGCATGATGGTCACCATAAGGGAAACTTGCAGATCTTCCAAGAGCAGTGGAAGAGAGGACAGGTATGTAACTGAAACCTCTCCTCTGATGACTCACCTTTGGTTTAGAGTGAGAGAAAAGTCTCTAATAAGACCATTTGTTATGTAGATATCTGCCCATACTGCCATATAAAGATTGATTTATGTGAGCAGGTCATGTATCATATAGGCATTGAGCTGGATTCATGAGAAACTGCGTGTCATGAACAGTTTTGTCTGGAGAGGGGAAATCTGGAAAGCAGTAGGGATAAAGGTGAAAATGATTACAGATAAGTTAACTGAGCATCTGAGAAAAAATGTTTAATTCATGAGATGGCAGCAGTGGTCCTGAAATCCCATCTCGGATCCCTAATGACTTCTTACCAGAAGCAGGTCTTGCTAGTCATACTCGCCGCTGTCATGGGCTGTGATTGCCCTGCTTGTCTGAAGCAAAATACACTTGTTTGGAAAGACAGAATTATGCCATAAACACACAGCATCTAACATCACATATTGTACTAAATTTCATGTGAAGTCCATAGTTAGTGGCAAATACTTCAAACTTCCAACCTTGGCCTGGTTTTATGCAGTCTAGTCAGTGTAACCAAATAAAGATGCTGCTTGCATATGTGCACATATACACACACACACACTCTCTCTCTCCCGCTCCCTCTCTCTGCTTATTAACAAGCATGTTTTAAGGGGCCAAATTTTCAGAAAGCACAGCCTAACTGTGTGTGTTGTTCATCACAAGTGATGAGTACCAGTCTTTCTGTGTAAACCACAGCACAAGTACCAACCACCATCTTAAGGGTTTATGCAGCAGAAGAAGACACAAAAGCTTTTGAAATGTGGGTTTGATTTGAAAGAAATAAGACTTTTCTAGTCAGATGAATTTATTTATTGCCCGTGTGTTATTGTCAGTTTAATATTTTGGTCAAGTATTTAAATAAGTATTATTAACATTAATTATTTATAATGTGGACAGACAAAGGACTACTATGATTCAGCAGCATTCTTTGTTCCATATGTATTTGTGTTATCTTTGGAAGGAGTCCACTCCGGCACACCAGGTAATGACAAAGCTGACAGACGGTCAAAGAAAGGGGCAACACAAGAACAACCATCTACAGGCAGCAAAAACACTTATAAGAGCTACAGACAAAAAGATGGGCCATGGGAGATATTGGAAGAGAGGTTTATAGATACATGCTAGCCCTAATCTTAATTAATCAGCATTAATCATCTAACAAGAAGGGACCAGGCCACTGTCTTCAGACTCAGAACACAACATACTCCATTCTATGGACATCTTAACAGAATACAAGCACAACACTCCCTAGAGTGCCAGCTATTAACTACCCCTACGAAAGTGTTGACTATTATCTCTCTGAGTGCCCAAAACTCAGCGAGACTATAAAAATGCTACTCCCGCCGAGACCAGACAAGTGGAACACCTTGTACGGATTATAAGAACAGTTTTGTAAAAACATGCAAATTCCACTACATGGCGTTGGACCAGAGGGCGAAAGCTCATGTGCCGCTAGTCGATAACAACTTTGGAGAGAGTTAACAGCACAGTCATCAGAGGATCAAAGCGTGTATGGAGAGGAATTATGCTGCATAGACACCACAATGTCTAACTATTGCTAAGCCTTTATACTGTTATTTTCAACCAAAACTGTACAACATCCTGTTTAGGATTAATTGTTTGGTGACCTCTTTGCTTAGAGATAGTTGCATGTACTTTTTCATTGCATTTCAGCCAGTGTTGGTGTCATGTGCCAATAAAAAGATGAACATCAACATCTGGAAACCAGAGGTGTTTACCAAGGAATTTGGTCACATCGAAAACGAAGTGGTCAACTGTCGGACTGGCGATGTTATCATTGGCCACACCATGGGTGACTTCTGGGGTGGATTTGAGAATCTAGCAAGTAAGTCAAAGTTGTGTGTAAATGGCCATGTTGTGTGCTAGCATCAGCATACTGGGTATAGAAGGTTAGTTGTGTATCTTTTACAGGACGTGGCAGAACCAACCCTGACAGCCCCTGGCTGTTGTGTGGTTTTTCTAGGCACATTTACATCCAGTAGTTTATACTGGGTATGCTTGCAGTAAATTTGGGGGGGGGGGGGGGGCTGTTGAAGAATTATATAAAGTTTATTACTTGTCTTTTTTTAGGATGTTGCAGAAGCATCCCGAGCATTTTTTGGATGGTCTGTTAGTGATTTCACTAGGCAGTTTTACAATCAGTAGTTTGCCTTTGCTTGCTATAAAGTTGGCTTTCAATACCACTGTTGAAAATGACACAATGCTATCTGCTGCCAAACCACCCTCGCCCCCTTCCTGATTGAACCCGAAATTACAAGGGGCAGCGACTAAAATTCTAAACATTCTGCTAACTATTTTGTCAGGCATTTTTTTTTTTTTTTTAAACCGCTAAAAATGTTTGTTGTCTTGCAGATTTTATTTTTGTTGTTGTTGAGAATTTGTGGTTTTAATCAAGCTCTATTTCCAAGCTCCCCTGTCCTCTGCTGTGTTTTGAAGTTTTCTCAAGGGCTTTCTTTTACAGGCTTGTATTGGTGTGTCTGTGCTTTCTCTTCTTCTTGTGCCTTTTATTCTTCACTTCTGTTTGCTGCCCCTGCCAGATGTTTTCAGATGAGAAAGCACTGGGTTCTCTTATGTTGTTGTTATATTTCTTTACCTGTGTGTTATCTAAGTTTTTATTTTTAGAAAGCAGTCAGAGTTCTGTTTCTATAATTGAGCTAAATATTCAGTAACATGTTTCATGTCTTTCAGATCGACCAATAGACAGCAAAGGTCACCCAATGTTGCTGAAGCTGAAAGACTGGCCACCCGGTGATGACTTCAGTGAGTTGCTGCCATCGAGATTCCATGATTTGATGAATGCGCTGCCACTACCTGAATACACACAGAGAAATGGGAAGCTGAACCTTGCCTCGCGCCTCCCTGACTTTCTTGTCCGTCCCGATCTAGGACCTAAAATGTACAATGCCTACGGATCTTCTCAGTTTCCACAAGAAGGCACAACAAACCTGCATTTGGACATTTCTGATGCTGTCAATGTCATGGTCTATGTTGGCATCCCCTCAGATGGACCCGGAGGTCGAACAGCTCAGGAGGAAGGTAAACGCTTTTTTTTTTCTCTTGCCCTTCTTTTTTGTTTCTTCCCTCTTTTTTGTCTCTGGTTCTTGTTAGCCAACCCTATCCACTTGCATGTTTCTCATATTATTCAATGCTCTATCCAAATTTTTATTACGATTTTTGTATTTGACCTACATTTTTTTCCCATCAGAAATTACTCATTCATCTGAGCTTTCACTGTGCGCTAGTTATACTTTCTTCACTATTTTTTGCCATCATCTGTTCAGTACGACGTAAGAAGAATTCTTGCCATGAATGAGATATAAACAATTGAGCTGTTTCAAATTGTCAAAACAGGATGGCTATATGTTTATTTGAGGTGCATATGTAGTTGCTGTTTATCAACAGAATTGAAGTTTTCCTAGCTTCTGACACTGACACCTACCTGATCTGGTTGTTCAGTTCTACACAGAAGGGAAGCCTGTTGTCATGCTGGTCTCATCACATTTGCCAGCAGGACATCCCACCACATCACTGTTGTGTTTTGCAAGTTGTCCACAGCCAACATCAGCCTCACTACTTCTACTACAGCTGCTTTGTTCTTCTTCCTTCTGCACTTTATTGTATTGTATGTACAATAGGCCATTGGCTTTCAGTTAACTTATACCTTGTATGTCTATTCTTTGTCATTATATGCAGCTCAAGTTTGTCCTCTCCACTCCAACTTTTTTAGACTTAATCTCTAATTCTTTTCTCCATATTTTGCAATTGGAGGGGGGGGGGGGGGGGGGGGGGGGGGGGGGGGGGGGGGGGGGGGGGGGGGGGGGGGGGGGGGGGGGGGGGGGGGGGGGGGTGGGGTTCTGCCGTAAAGAAACTTAGTTATATTATTATATTTTCTTAGTGCAAGTCCTGTTATGCCATCATATATTCCTCACCTCTTGAATCACTGAAATTTTTAGTTCTCTTCCAAAGCTCCACATAAGTGATTTTGTCCAGCCATTTCACTTCTTACAACAGTACTGTTATGACATTCTTCTTCTTCTTTCGTTCGCCTGAAATAAGTTGTCTGTATCAGCAGTTTTGTCTCTTGTATAAATTTCACTGTCGTTGTTAGTTCATTCAGTGGTCCATAGAGTTTACGTTCCACTGTTGTTCTTTCTGGCCAAAAGGTTTGCCTTAATGTGTCAAAATCGGTGCAGTCCTGGAGTACATGCTCTGCTGTCTGGGGCACCTTTCCACAGGTGCACATGGCTGATACACCTATCTTGAATTTTGTGAACTTGTGGTTACGTAATCGGTTGTGCCCTGTTCTGAGGCGGAGGATAATGACTTGTTCTGGTCTGTCCATAATAAAATAGTCGTCTTGTGCTGGGGCTGGTGGTTTCCTGATCGATTTAATGATTCTTTTCTTTTGGTGGTATGTGACTGGTACATCTGGCTGCTCTTTTGTCGCACCTTCCCCTGCCAGTTGATCAGCTTTCTCATTTCCAGGCACTCCACAATGAGACGGTATCCACTGCATTACGACTCTTCGCTGAACGCTGAGTTGTGTCAGCAGTGTTTGCAATTCTGGTAGTTTCCTAGACTGGAGTGCTTCAAGTACTGATTTAGCATCTGTCAGCATTACCACATACTGTGAGCCAAGGTTGGTATTTAGCAGTTTCTCTGTAGCTATCTTGATAGCCTGGGTTTCTGCATCGTAGTTATGGCAGTACTTCCCGGTTGGTACGCTGGACTTATCCCTAGTACCATCTGGGAATTTGATGTACACTCCAGCGCCACCATTTCTAACTGCACTTTCTGCGGACCCATCTGTATAGACTCTGGCCCATTGTTCTTGTGGGTATTCTTCATCAATATAACTGAGGGTGGCCATTCTGCGTTGTACACTATCTTGCTCTTGTCAAATATCCTTTTCACATTTGTCTGGATTTGTACCGTTAGTTTACATTTTTCTCTCCATGGGGTTTGTTCCGGAATACTTTTAAGTGGGCAACCAATTTCTGGAAGGTCAGGAGTTTGTCTACATATTCTTTTTGCTTGGTGTATAAAGCTGCTTCTTTTTAACTGTCCCAAGGCTAGGTTCTTAAATCTATTTTCCATCTGGTGATCTGGCATACTGAGGAACTTTTCAGCTTGTATTTGCAACTTTGTATCTCTGCGTTCTCTCAGTGCCTGTGTTTCCCAGCTTTCTCCATTTCTAATATGGGGGTTGATTTCATCCCTCCTGTGATGACTCTGAGCGCTTGATTTTGCACTTTGTCTAACTCCTTTAATGTGGCTTTTTGCTTTGGGGAGAGGGTGAATAGTGTGGTGCTACATTTGTCTGTGTTGATGCTGACACCCCATCTATTGGCCCATGCCTCAAGTGCATTTGTAGCCCGCTGTAGTGTTTTCGTGGCTATCGTTGCATGTTCATTGGTGCACCACAGTACCAGGTCGTCGGCATACGTTGCCATTTTGATTCCATTTGGTATCTCAGCAACCAGATCATTGATGAATAAAAGGAAAAGTGTGGGCGACAGGACACCACCTTCAGGGACGCCTTGTCGCAGTAGAACTTTTTTACTTTTAAAACCATCTACCTTTACCCGGGCTCTTCTGTTATGTAGATATGCTTTAATCCAATTGTACATTTCCCATTTATTTTATAGTTTCTCAATTTCTTCAAAAGCCCCTCCTTCCAAACCTTGTCAAAAGCTTTCCTTAAATCTATCCATGCCGCGAGTACCCGTTTCTTATCTTGAAAAGCATCCTCTATTTCTTGGGAGAGGTATGTTGTCTGGTCTTCCGTAGAGTAGAACTTTCTAAAGCCCGCCTGCTGTGGTGTAATGATGTTTTCACTTTCAATGTACCACTGTAGTCTGAGGTTGGTGATGTGCTCCATTGTTTTACAGAGACAACTTGTGAGGCTGATCAGTCTGTAGTTGGAGGCATTAGAACTGTCTTTCCCAGGCTTTATGAGGGGTATCATAATTGCCTCTCTCCAGATCTGTGGAACATTCCCTGTTGCCCAGCAAGCATTAAATATCTGTAAAAGCTTTGTTTTGGCTACTTTTCCTAAGTTTCTGATCATTTCGTTTGATATACCATCTGCTCCTGGTGACTTCCGGATTTTCAGCTTTGAAATGGCCAACTCCAGTTCATTAAGTGTAATTGGCACCTCTAGCGCCTCTGTTATTTCTTTCTGACTTCTAAATTGTGTCTTTTCTTGAATTTCGTGTTTTTTTTCTCTGAACTGATTTCAATGTCGTTATCTAAAGCAAAAGTGTCCGCAAATAGGTTGGCTGCCTCTTTTCCTGTGACCATGTTTTCATCTTTCTGCAGCGTGATCTTTGAGTTCCACCCTGTGCCCTCATCATTAATTTGTTTCACAAGCTTCCATAACTTTCTTGTGTCTTTTTCAAAGTTCAGCGACCTTGTTTTCTCCTGCCAGCTTTCCCTTCTAACCTGCAGCTTTGCCCTTACAAATTTGGCTTTTGCATGCTAGTAGTTATTGTGATGTTCTTGGTTTGGCCTGGTCTCTGCTATCTTTCTGGATGTTTCTACTTCGTTATGTAAATTTTCTAGCTCATTACTCCAGTATGGCTTATAATGCTTACGGGCACCTCTTGGTATTTATTCTACTGCTGCCTTTAGTACACTTTGTTAAATTCTTTAACTACTTTATTTATATCCTGGTCTACGCTGAGACTTCCAAGCAGTATACTGGAACGGTGCTTGAACATTGTCCAGTCAGCCTTTTTGTATTTCCACCTTGGCAGCCTACTAGTTTCTGTGACCTTCTCATTTTCTACATTCAGGAAGACCGGTCGATCGTCACTGCCTCCCAGTTGATTTCTAACAACTCGTTTAATGTTCCATTCCAGATCTGGAGAATGAAATGCTAGGTCTGGGGTAGTAGTGGTGTGCCACGACCTCGAGTAGAATGTGGGTGGATCAGTTGGCCTATTAATCAGAACAAGTCTGTTCTCATCCTGCCACTCCTCCAGTTTCTCTCCTCTCTGGTCTATATGGCCGTATCCCCAGCTTTGTGAGTGGCTGTTAAAGTCTCCACATAGAATCATCTTTTCTTCCGCTGGGATTGTGTCTAATGCCTGGGGACGATCACTCGGGCAGTAATAATTGATCAGGTAGAAGTCTGCATTTCCAGTTTGTAGTTTCAGAATCTGATATTCTGCTCCATCCATATATACTTCAGTCTGGCACGCAGTGATATTGTTCCTCACAAGAGTCAGTATTCCACCCTTTTTCCTGCCTTTCCGGTCTGATCGGAAGCACTGATAACCTCTGATTTTTAAGACTGTCTTCAGTGAGGTGGGTTTCCTGTAGACAGCATATATGAATCTGTTCCTCATTTAGAATATTTTCTAACTCGAGCTTTTTATTTGTAATCCCCTCTGCATTCCAGTGCATTAATTTGACTCCTTTCTTAGTTCGGCCAGATGCTCTATTCTCAGGTTCCCTGGCTCCACAGGACATTTGAGAAGGACCTCCAGTAATTTGGGTTGGGCCTCTTTGAGGCAGAGGGCCCGGCACTGCTCCTGCCTGAGAGTCCATCACAGGGCGAGCACCATAACGTTTTGCTGATATAGACATATTTCCATGGCGTGTATGCGTGGCATCCTGATTGCTGTGGTGCGCCTCTTGGCTGGTTGCCTCCGACTTCAGCACCTTGTTTTGCTAGGGTAGACTGTGATCATACTCGAGGAGAGTAGGCTTATCCATTCGTCTTTCACCTTCACCTTGTTGTCCCATCCAGTTTCCCGCTGGGGGTTGAGACCCCAACCTTCAACTGGATTGCTGGGAAGAACAGGGTCCACCACGTGAAGGTGAGGCAGGCTTGAGCAAGAGAGGCCAATAGACATTAAGAGTCTTGTATTGCGCATCATTGATCCATTAGGACCGCTGATATGACATTAAAAGTGAAATATTTTCAGTTTGGTATTTTTGCTTACGCTAAAATATTTTTTATTGTGTTTGATTTTCAGCTGCTGTAAAAGCTATAGATGATGCTGGGTGTGACAGCATCACTAAGAGAAGAGTCCGAGAAGTACATGAGATCCCTGGAGCCTTGTGGCACATTTATGATGCTCATGATGCGGATAAAATCAGAGACTTTCTCAATAAGGTAGGTCATACTAGTCTTTCACTTTGCTGTGGTCTGACATGGGTATGTGTAGGTAGACCCCGAGGACCATATCGGGTGTTAACCCTTATAGACACGCTATTGTATATACCTTCTAGTCGAGGCTCTGTGATGCTGATCGTAATGTTTGTGCACAGCCTTCTATTCCGTGTGATGGATATCCTTTCTGATAACATGGTCTCCTGCCAAGCAGAGATGACGTCTATGGGTGAATGTTCAGAAATGTGCAGGTGATGTCTTTCCTATAAACTGAACAGTTAGCAGGTTTGTAAAACATTCATACCTGTTTGTTTAAGATCAAGCATGGTGTTAGCAGCCCATCATGAATGGTGTTTTGTGTTTAATCGTGGTATTTGTGCGTAACCATGGTCTTTGTGGTGTTTGTGTATGCGATCATTGTCTTTCTTTGTAATCACTGGGGATAGAAATTAGCGACTTAATGCATTCTGCAGACTCCTCCCATTGGTTCAAAACAATAGAGAAATCAAAAATTAAATGTTGGTGATCAGATGAACATAACCCCAGACATGGCTAGCTGACTGCAGAAAAACTAGTCAGAGTAACCAGGGTCATCTAATAAACAATGAATAGCTACTTTTATAAAGAAATTCTCCATTTGAGAAGTTACAGGTTACATTGTGGAGATGCAGGTGTCAATGATATGTGTACTTGTCAGTTCTGGAAATGTACAGCATCAGGCCTCATAGGTTTGGGAGATGCAGGTGTCAACGATATGTGTACTTGTCAGTTCTGGAAATGTACAGCATCAGGCCTCATAGGTTTGGGAGATGCAGGTGTCAATGATACGTGTACTTGTCAGTTCTGGAAATGTACAGCATGAGGCCTCATAGGTTTGAATCAGGGTGGTTTTATCTTTATTGACCCAGAGTTGTAGGGATAGAAGGAAAGTTAGGTAGGTATGTTTTTTACAGGACAGTGCAGAACCTGCCCCAGCATGTGTCCGTTTTTGGCTGTTTTATTTATTCATAAACTGGACAAAAGGATAGGATATATTGATAGGGCTGGTGCCACATGCTGAAATAGGGAAGTCAGATTCTCAGAACTTTGTTACTTCTTCGCATTCACCAGCTTTAAAATCCTGCGGATAGTTCTAGTTGTTCATCCACTTCTGGATTCTGTTTCTGTTCTAGAAATCGAGTGTTGTGTGCACACCTTTTCCACAGGTCTGATTCATTTGCATGCATTTTGTTCCTTGCCTCTCAGACAGATGTATTCCGACTTTGAAGGAAGCTCCCATTTAGTCTACTCTTATGACATGCTTTTGGGAAGATCTATTTTTGTTTTCCCCCAAAATAGAGCCCCGGAACCCACATGGGGAGAACTTTGTTTAAAATTAAAGTTTGTGTTTGTTTCAGGTTGCGAAGGAGCGTGGTGAGAGTATAGAGAAAGATCATGATGCAATTCATGATCAGAGCTGGTACCTGGACAAAGAGCTGTGTGACAGACTGCTCAAGGAATATGGTGTTCAAGGCTACACAATTGTCCAGTGTTTGGGAGATGCTATATTTATTCCTGCCGGGGCACCCCATCAGGTTTGTATTTTGTCTTTTTCCATATGCAGCACAGGTTTGCCTGGAGTCTTATTTGTTATGTTCTATAGCCACCATTCCATAATCAGAGTTTTTTTTGTTGCTGCTGTTGCTTTGAACATTTGCATTTTTATGAAGTGCCTAGAATATGGATGGACAATCCCTCATTATATAAACCTAAAAAAAAAAAACTCATAATGTTAATCTGAGACTTTCCTGGTGAGGTGTCAGCAGTGAACTGAGTTTTATGAATAGTGGACACAGAAGTCTAACACGCATAAGAAGCAAACTACTTTAGTATAAATAATTGAAATCTTAAGTCTTCTTCTTCTTCGCTTCCTCTTTTACCGCTGTGGGTGTCGAGGGAGATATAAGGTTCTGTTTCTAGCTCTTCTGGCTGCCTGGACCATAGGCACATCGTACTGTTGTAGAGTTTCTCTGATGTTATCCTTCCATCTTGTTCTTGGTCTACCCCGTGCTCTATGTCCTTCTTCTCTTCCCATGTATGCTTTGTATGGTATGGTGTCACAAGGCATTCTCTCTAAGTGGGCAAACCATTTCACTTGCTGTCTTTGTATGTAATCCAGAATTGGTTCTGTGCCGACTTGTTCTCTTATGATCTCATTTCTGATCTTATCTCTTATGGTCACTCCTACAGCCCTTCTCAGACATCTCATTTCCGTGGTTACTAATTTTCTTTTATGGTTTGTTGTGAGTGACCATGTCTGGCACTGGTGGTAGCACAGAGTTGGAATAAATATGCTTTGAATAAGATGTCTCTTTGTGCTGACTGGGATTGTCTTATGCTGTAAGAGGGGAGCTAGCTGTCCCAATACTTGGTTTGCTTTACTGCATCTAATGTCAATTTCTTTATCCAATTTCCCATCTTCGGTAAATGTAGTTCCCAGATATTTAAACTCAGATGCCTGTTTAATGCCTTTGTATTCTATTGTTTAGATCTGTCTTCTTTTTTCCTATTGACATTACTTCTGTCTTTTCAAGTCTGCTGGCTTTTAATGGCACAGGGAATATGTTGAAGTGAGGTTTTACAGTCATAAGCATGGCATGACGATCCATTGGGTGAGCCTGGTTCCAGCTCACCATATGTTAGCCCTGCATTTGTGGGAGCCTTGGATGGTAGGAAATGCTCATGCTCTGCTCCTGCCTTCTCTTGAGGGCTGACCAGCATTATGTGGCTAGACAGCCTGATTTTTTTTGGGTGGGGGGCACCAGCTGTGAACTAGGGAATGCACAACGAGAAGACCACAAAACTACCTGGGAAGGCTACCCTGGGCAACAAATGCCTGAGGTTGGATGTGTTGGCCAAAAGGCACAGATAATGCATGCAGCTGTGTTTTAAAAACAAAAACTTTTTAGATAAGCTCTGAAGATTTTTTAAGGGGCAGCATTAAACATTCATAGATCCTTTAGTGTGCATCTAACAGAACACAGTTAAAATGTACCTGGCTGTTGTTTTTTTCCTCATTATTTAAATTCACAACATGAAAATGTTTGATCATAGCTTTTCCTTTGCTGTGTTTTCCTTTTACAGCTGCAAAAGAACAATTGTATAGTCATGTCTGTTGTCTAAGCAACTGTTGTTTTCTGTTCTTAGGTGCGCAACTTGCACAGCTGTATCAAGGTAGCAGAAGACTTTGTTTCTCCGGAGCACCTGAATCATTGCTTCCGTCTAACACAGGAGTTTCGACAGTTGTCTGAGACGCACACAAATCATGAGGATAAGTTACAGGTGAGGTAGTAGAAACAGGCTTTTTTTTCTGCCTCATGTACTGTCAATCATCGGATGTCATGTTGTATGCCAGCTTGCCCTTTCTAGTGGTAGCTAATGTACCAGCGGAAGTAAGTCGCAGATAGTTATGGGATGGCAGGAAACTGTAGTTGGTGGTTTCTAAAGGTGTCATTGGGTGACAGCAACGTCAAACTTTATATCTCGGTTCATTACATGTGCGCATTCGCAACACACAAAGAAAATGGCAACTGTACTATTGGAGTGTACTCACAAAGAACAGCGTGCTGTTGAGCGTTTTCGGGGATGGGCTGCCTGCAAAAGACATTCATACGGAGATGCTTCCTGTTTATGCTGACACAAGTTTATCCCATAAAGCGGTGCATAGCTGGGTATAAAAAAAAATAATTTCAAGAATACTCTAAAATTGTTGAAGTCCGGTCTAGTCACCCTGTTGAGATTGCAACAGACACATCCATGCAGTGGGTGGAGGAGATGATTAGAGGTGACAGGCGAGTAAAGGTTGACGTTTAACAGCTGCAGTTCACATGGTTCAGCATACAACATAGTGCACAATCCATTGAAATTTAAGAAAGTGTGCACAAGGTGGGTACCCAGACAATTGACAGACAAACACAAAATGGACAGATTAAGCCTGCCTTGCAGCATCTCTGTCGATACGCAGATGAAGGAGAAGACATGCTGAACAGGATTATTACTAGGGACGAATCATGGGTGCATCACTACCAGCCCGTCAAAGCATGCTTCAATGCAGTGGAAACATCTTTCTTTGTCTTGTGTTCAAAATGTCATGCCATCAGCAGGGAAGGTTATGCCGACAGGTCTATGATTGTCATAGAGTACTTTTCACCAATTGCCAAAAAAAAAAAAGAGGTGATTGCTGATTCATACCGTAAAGTTTTATAGATGCTTCATAAGGCAATGTGAAGAAAACATCCAGGCCTGCTGACTAGAGAAGTACTGCTCCTATATGACATTGCCAGACCACGTGCGGCTTGATTAACTCAGGAGAAAATTAACCATCTAGGATGGGAACTTCTGGAACATCCATCTTACAGCCCTGAGTTCGGAAGACAGAAGGTAAATGTGAAGTGGAGATGGGGTTTAGAAAACACAGTACGCAGTTCTATGCAGCAGGTTTGGGAGGACTAATATAAAACAATGGAACAAGTGCATCAGTGTTGGAGGAAATTATGTTGACCTTCAAAATAATGGGGAAAGGGGGGGGGGGGGAAAATTGATGCACTGCCTCCCTAACAAACAAGCATGCTGTACATGAAGGTGACTAATTAGGGGAGTGCATCTACCTGAGGGGCGAGGAACCAACAGTCTGCATACAGATTTGTAATATAGATGTTCATGCAAAACTCTAGAACAATAGCTGTGTCCAGAAATGGACAAAGAATCAGAACTTTTCCCTTGAGTTTACAGCTGGTGAATGCTAAGAAGAAGACTATTTGGTTGACTGTCCATGATTGATTTCCATATATCAGGCTAGCTGTGTAGAGTAGATGGTAGGAACTCTCAAATTATAAGACAGCTATTATAATTTATGCGACAGCTAAGTCAAGTTTTTCTAGCAGGCAGCAGCATTGGTATATGGGAAGTACTTGTTACAAACTTGTTGTTTCCTTCCAAGCACAGTCATTCTGGAAACGTGTCAGCACATACTTTGGTCTATTTGCAGAGACCTAATGGTGAATTAAGTTTTGGGTACATTTGTTTGCTGGGCAATTACCCCTACTTTATGTGTTCTTCTATCAGATCTACAAACTTGGAATCACCATCTGGGCAGAGAAGGCCATTCACAGACAAAAATGGGGGCGGGTGATAATCTGATGAAGCTCAGGGGCTCAAAATATACAAGGGGTCGTTGTGACTGTGTGCTAACATGTTTTCTCTTGGTTCATTAATACAGGTGAAGAACATCATCTACCATGCAGTGAAAGATGCTATTGCAGTTCTGAGAGAGCATAGCCCTGATGATGAATAGAATCTGTGACAGTTTCTAGACTAAAGACTTGATGGTCACCTCACACAAAGCTGACACTACAGCTCTCATTGAGATGGCTGTTGTTGATTGTTCAAGTCCATCATTGTGAACAGTGATGGTCAGCAACTGTCCAGGTGGGGGCGTGTCAAGATCAAGATGTCTGCTGAGTTGTGAACACTAGCATTTCATCCTTGAATGTGCAGTCTGTTTTACTGCCAGAGATTGAGTGTCTGCTTTCACAGTCTATTGTGACTTGTCATGAACGGAATGGTGCTTGTTGTTCACCAGTTTCTCACAGCTTATCTGGTTGGGTTGTCCCTGCTGTCTGGAAAAGTGGACATTCATGTAAAAGATACTCATAAATTTACTTTGGTGCTCCACAGTTGCCAGCTCTCAGACTCATGCACTGAAAAGTTTGTTCTAGTTATTAGTCTCACCCAGTGTCAGTGAGGTGATACAACCTGTAGAATGACCTGAATGACTCTTGTAAAGAGTCAATGCCCCTGCTGTGAGACTGAATTACTTTGGTTAATTACCTATTGTAATGTAGAATATGTTTGCCCGTGTCAGTATTGAACCTCACACTTTCTGGTGCTTCTTGACATGGTTATCCCAAACCCACGCAGCACATATTGTTTGTTGCAACACCGTGTGGTATTGACACAGATCTTTGCTTATTACCCACAAACCATATAGTTGTGTTGCAAAAAGGTGGCTGAGCGGTTCCCTCCATACCCACACAGTACATAGTTTTGGGGAGACAGGGTCTGTGTGAGGGGTTTTCTCCACACCCAGGCAGCACATAGTTGTGTGGCAACAAGGTGTGTGACGTGACAAGACACTAAATAGTTTCACCCACACAGCACACATAGTTGTGTGGCAACAAGGTGTGTGACGTGACAAGACACTAAATAGTTTCACCCACACAGCACACATAGTTGTGTGGCAACAAGGTGTGTGACGTGACAAGACACTAAATAGTTTCACCCACACAGCACACATAGTTGTGTGGCAACAAGGTGTATGACATGTAAAAATACTGAAGCGTTTCCTCCACACCCAAATAATTGTGTGACATGTAAAGACACTGAGCAGTTCCCTCCACTCACACAGCACATAAATGTGTGGCAACAAGGTGTGTGACATGTAAAGACACTGAACAGTTCCACCCACACAGTAAATAGTTGTGTGGCAAAAAGGTGTCTGAAGTGTAATGACACTGATCGACACATTGTGTAGACTTGCAACAAGGTGTGTGAAACATGTGCCTGCATATTTGTTTTCAAAAATTGGTTTTTGGTGACCCAAATTACACTTCTTTTGAGAATGGTTGGTTTCAGCCTGTGACTGATGTGATTTGTTCATCACTTGTGGAAACAGGGGATGTGAATGGACATTTGCACTCCTGACAATGACATGTACAAAGTGTATAGCTCTTCATTCATCCTAATTTAGCAACAGCTGGGTGTTTATGTAAAATAAACTGGGTCATTTTTTGTGTGTGTGTGACAGCTGATGTCCCATGTGGGATGAACTGCATCATTATATGTTTATGTAGCTGCATATGTTCCTTGTATAAATTGAATCAGAGTGGGTTTTGTAGCTACAGGTGTCCCATATGGCAAAAACTGCATCACTTTATGTTAAGTTACGAATGTCCTACGTCACGTAACCTGGATTATTGTGTGTATGCATAGCCACAAATGGCCTATGTGGTATAAAAAATTGGATCAGTGTAGCTATTATGTGTAACATAACTGGAACATTATGTGTGTGTGTAGCTGCAAATGTCCCATGAAACATAACTGGATCATTATGTGTGAGTGGCTGCAAGTGTTCTGTGTAACATAACTGGATCATTATACATGTGTCTGATGTAACATAACTGGATCATTATGTGTGTGTGTATCTACAAATGCCCCATGTAACATAACTTGATCATTATGTGTGGCTACAAGTGTCCCATGTAACATAACAGGATCATTATGTTGTTACATAACTGGATCATTATATATGGCTACAAATGTCCCAAGTAAGATAACTGGATCATTATTTGTGTGTAGTTGCAAATGTCCCATGTAATATATAAAAAAACTGCCTCGTTGTGCAGGTGTCCTGTGTAACAAACCGCATAACTATTTTTGTGTAACAACAAAAGAAGCATTTCTCACTGTTTGTCTTGTAATATACCAAATGTACAAAGAACTCCTACTGGATAGAGATGCATATTAACAGAGCAATCAGACGGTGAATCTAATTTGATAAGCATAAAGGAATGATTTCATTATTACGTGAGCACCAATATTAATTATTCTCAACTGTTGTTAATGTGTGTGCCATTTACTTATTATTTCAGAATCATTTGTGGTTTATGTACATAGTAGTCTACTCACTTGACGTTGTTTGTACATACGTCATTGTCTCCAGTCTGCATTCAGCTGTCATATGGCAACACATCACCCATATGTTAGGGTGGCAACTGTCCTCTCATTTGTCACATGGTCTCCCGGTGACAGCTGTCATCTCATTTGTCACATGGTGTCCGGGTGACAGCTGTCATCTCATTTATCACATGGTGTCCGAGTGACAGCTGTCATCTCATTTGTCACATGGTGTCATGGTGACAACTGTCATCTCATTTATCACATGGCATGAGCTACTGTCTTCAGATAATTTGCCGTCGTTGTCTAAAGTTGATAAAATCAGCGAGTGGTGTGGCGATTGGATTATGACTGTAATTAGAGAAGCATGTTTTGTGTGATGCCTGTCCAACACAGTGAAGAAAATGTTTGTCTTTCGTATACAGAGTTGAAACATTTTGTATGAAATTTTCCTTCAGAGATTGTGTGTGAATCTTCTCTAACACAGAGCTGAGAAATGTCTGAATGTTTTTAACATGGAGCGAAGAATTATATGTGAAAGTTTCTCTAAAATAGAGATACAAGAATAATTAGTTGTCATGTTGCAGAAGGCTGTACATTACAAACTATAATATAAAATAAAAAATATTTATGTACATATGTAATATTGTACAGTGAAATGTAGATCACTTTGTCCTCATATACATCATTTGACTTCTGTTCTGTGTTGGTGACATTATTTCTATAGTTGCCTGTTTATTCTTGTACAGAATTGAGCGTTTCTTTCACTTCAATGTTTCTTGCTTGGTTCAGTGAACTTACTGTTGGTCATTCACAGCTGGTTTGCTTTATTCAGTTTTTTTTTCAATTATTATTCAGGGTGAAAGGTGCCCTTGTGTTTTTTACTGTAAACTTATGATGTAGTACTATCTGTGGTAGGAAAAAGGATTGTCCAATGAATGCGCCGAGATCTGTTGAATCACTGTACATTGAAATGACCGTTGATTTCTTGTAAAGACGTGGCTGTCTGGAAAGTGAAGTGAATCATATCGCCAGCCATATTTCCTAACCGAGTGTCTCATTGAGCGGTAAACACACACAGTATATCACAGATGTCAGTTGTACTGTCATTTATGTACCTGGTGCCTCTATCAGTGAGAAGTTTGGTTGCTGCTGTGGACATTGCAGCCAGGCTAAATGTTTTGTTGTTGTTGTGTGTGTATAAATATCATATCATCTCTCTATATATATTTTAGCCAGCTCCTGATCATTTGAGCATGTGCATATCTTGTCGTCATTATGTTCATGATTACATTGGTATAAAAAAAATGAATGTATTTTTGTAAACTAATCGCTGGTGTCACTTGAGGAAACGTCCCGCAACTTGATGTTTTGTTTTACAGTTGTGATGTCAGAGTTGACCCCTTAGTGTTATGTGAGCACGTTTGTTGCTCGTAAATCCTTGACCTTGATGGTGCCATCTTGCGCACAGACAATGCCTGTTGGCTCATGGGCGCTAGAGGAATCCAGACTGGTCAAGCATGGCCATGTGATGTCTGCTGAAAATGGAATGCTGCCAGTTAGAAGAATGGGTTGTGTGATTATTTCCGTTTTTTTTTTTTTTTTCAACTTTAAACGGCTAGAAGTTTAGCTTTTTATCTCTTCATTACAACATGAATCTGAATAAAAATTCTTTTAAATGTTTCTTCTGGATGTGTTTTTGTGTAGGGGTAATAGTTATTGATGTTGAGTTTTGTGTTTATGTTACTTATTTTTGGTGTTTTTCTTGGGGGGGGGGGGGGGGGTATCTGTGTTTTGCATTGGGAAGTACTTGTTCTTTTTGTGTGTGGAGGTACTTGTTATTATTGGTGTGTTTTGTGTGTGTAGGAGGTGCTTGTTATTCTTGGTGTGTTTTGCGTGTGCAAGCCACACTAAAACGTTACAACGGGTACAGAGCGAGTGGAAGACCTCGGAAAATATGGAGTGATGGCATTGAGAACAGCCTTACAGAAATGAACATCAATCTTAATAGTGCTCTTGACAAAGCTCATCAACGAACATCTCCCCCCGACACTTCAATGAGGTAAAATGTGGAAGAGAAGTAGTTTTGTGTGTGTAGGAGGTACTTGTTATTCTTGGTGTGTTTTGTGTGTGTGTGTGTAGGAGGTACTTATTATTCTTGGTGTGTTTTGTGTGTGTGTAGGAGGTACTTGTTGTTGTGTTTTGTGTGTAGGGAGGTACTTGTTATTCTCTGTGATTCTTGGGTATGCTTTGTTGCACATTAATGAGGATGCTTGGTGCTGATGTACTTAAGTAGAAAGATGCTTGAACTAAATGCAGTGTTTATGTTTATCAGTTGCACTAGCAAATTATAGGAGAGTTCCAGTGGCATGGGTAAAGTAGATGTCGCTAGCTGAGACATGTGGCCATAAATCACCCTACATTTAAGATGCTGCTGTGTGGCATTAATACCTGAGCCTATATTATAGAAAGCAAGAGCAACAGTAGATAATTTGAAAACAGGACAATCTCTAGGATGTGACGACATACCAGCAGAGTTAATACAGGTGGGGGAGAAACCAGTGTCAGCACTGTGTGTGAAAATCTGGAACAGTGCTGACTGGCACGAAGTCTTGAAAA